AGAAAGAAAAAAGACTTTTCAGGACGTTTCAGAGAAAGAAAGACCCGAGTAGGATTTATTAGGTAAAGACAAAGTGTCAGTGTTTATTATAGAGTGAAAGCAGAAAGCATCCTTTATGGTAAAGTGAAAGCAAACAACCCTCAGACAAGTGAACCTGGGAAAGGGCCCAAAAAGGGTGGCCTAAAAGGACACCCAGTTTAGGGCTTTTGTATTTAAAAAATGACTACATTGTTAAAGTTACCCATACAAACACCAAACATGTTCCTCAGAGGGGGATGAATATCTTGTTCTTGCACAAGAAAACTCTCTCAATCTGATGAGGCCTTTGTTGAGCTTCCAGGGCCTGACCTTGGCCATCTGTGTGCCCTTCACTGACTCTTTCAGACTCCCTCTTTTTTTTTTTTTTTTTTTTTTTTTGTCTTTTTGAGACAGGGTCTCGCTATGCAGTTCAGGCTGGCCTTGAGCTCACTTTGTAGCCCAGGCTGGTCTTGAACTCACAATGATCCTCCTGCCTCAGACTCCCGAGTGCTGTGATTATAGGCATGAGCCACCAACACCCAGCTCAGACTCTTTGGTTTGGCCATTTCCTGGTCACCTGTGACTCCTTTGGCCAGGACTCTGCTTGCAGCCCCCACACACACACAGACACATACACACAAACTGCCAGGCTCTGACAACTTACTTACTTACTTTTTAAAAAATTCATTTTATCCATTCGAGGATAAAAAGAAAGAAAAATGAAGAAGGAGAAAAAAAAACCAACAAAATTTCAAAATATGTCAGTCAGGGGCAACAATAGTATATACCTTGTGCACTGTCATCCCCAAATCATTCACCCAGAGCACAAGACATCTACATTCAATTGTTTGAACAATAACAGCACGATCTTTCTCTTCAGTGAACTCAGAGAAATCGGTAGTATAGCTATGTTAACTATTTTTTATGTACATATACATACTCATATACATACATTGTTTCTTTCACCTTGTCACACTAATGAAACAATATGATGTTTACACATGTGTCTTATTTATTTCACTAATGAATACATTCTCAAGTTGCATCCATTTACCTATAAAAGTCTCTAGTTTGTCCTTCTTTATGACTGAGTAGTACTCTGTTGTACAAGCACCACATTTTTAAAATTCATTTCTTAGTTGATGGACATTTGGGTTGTTTCCAAGATTTAGCTATTACAAATTGTGCTGCTATAAACATGGATGCACATATGTCACTGTGGTATGATGTTTTTAATTCTTTTGGGAAGATACACAGAAGAGGAATGGCTGGATTGAATGGAACCTCCAGTTCTAGTTTTTTGAGAGATCGTCACACTGATTTCCACAGTTGTTGCCCCAGTCTGCATTCCTACCAACAGTGAAGAAGAGTTCCTTTTTCCCCACAGCCCCTTCAGCATTTGTTATTGGTTGATTTCTTAATAGTAGGCATTCTTTCCAGGGTGAGGCGGAATCTTAGTGTTGTTTTAATTCGCATCTCTCGAATGACCAGTGATGTTGAAGATTTTTTTGTGTATTTATTTATCGTTTGTATTTCTTCATCTGAGAAGGGTGCATTCATCTCGGATGCCCAGTTTTGGACTGGATCTTTAAATCTGGGAGGGCTGATTTTTTTAGTTCTTTATATGTTCTTTTTTTTTTTTTTTTTTTTTGGCCTTTTTCCTTTTTATCGGTACCAGGGATCGAACTCACAACTGCCTGCTTGCAAGGCAGGCGCTTAGGCCGCTGAGCTAAATCCCCAGCCCCACTTTATATGTTCTTGATAGTAATCCTTTGACTGAGGAACAGCTGGCAAGCAACTTACTTTCTTAATGGAGTTGATTTATGACTTGGGTAACTTCAACTGTGGCTGTGTCCTGGAAGTTGTAGTCTTTTTACTAATTACAGTTGTTAGGATTTCCGTGACCACTTTCTATTATTTCTTCTCTCCTAACTCAGAAACATCTGCCAGGTGTACTTTGGCCTTCTGGGACCTACCCAGAACATGATGAGGCAGGTCATTGGCTGAGGGTGCATGGTCCTTATATGGAACACTACACCGACTGGGCCCTAAGAAGTATGTAATCTCCTATAGGATGGCAATTGTACTGCTTACACATCAGCCTGAGCTCCCTTCTGAACCTGTTAAAAACTCCCAGACCAGTGATGGTGGACCTGTGACTTTCTTTCAAACACCACTGCTGCACGCAGGCTATGGGATCACCATGCTGTACTAGACAGAGCGCCTTCGTGGGCATCCTGCTCAGAACCTCCTCCTGGCCAGTGGGAGATTTACTGCCTTGCCTTTATATCGTTAGCTTTTTAAATAAATTTGCTTGCATTCTACCTCCTTCACCTGTCATTCTTCTTCACGGCGAGACATAATCTTGGAACTCTGGTAAAACTCCTTTCCTTTCCTTCCATTTTTCTCTCTCTTTTTAAATTTTTTCTTGCCATCCTTCCTTTCTTCCTTTCTCCCTTCTTTCTTCCTTGTTTGCCTACTGTTTCTGTTGCTGGGGAATGAACCCAGGACCTCTCACATGCCAGGCTTTATTTTATTTTACTTTTTTGAGACAGGGTCTTACTGTGTAGCTCAGGCTGGCCTTGAACTCACAGCAATCATCCTGCCACAGCCTCCTGAGTGCTGGGATTATAGGCACATGCCACCATGCCCTGTGCTAGGCTTTATTTTCAATTCCAGAATTGAGCAAGGCTTTGTTCCACTGAATAGACAGTTTTACGTGAGGTTGGCTTTATAGATGGAAGAGAGATTATGAGAGCAGAAATAAGAAGATGAATCATTTAAAAATTACGTTTCATTGTTTAAAAAGTCACATTTCTTATAAGGCAAGAACAAGGGGACAGAACAATAAAAAATTAATTACTGGAATCACACATAGTGCATACACCTATAATCCCAGCTTTAGGGAGGCTGAGGCAGGAGGGTCATTGCAAATTCAAGGTCAGCCTGGACTATATAGTGAGACCCTTTCTTGATGCTCCCCATCATGATAGTTAATCATGGCCTCAATTTGAATATGAAACACCTAGTGGATAAGTGGAGCACAGTTCTGGGTGTGTGTTACTGAGAGGGACAGATCCACTTTAAATGTGGCTAGCACCAGCCAATAGGCTTACAGTCTGATGGAATAAAAATGGGGAAGAAGAAAGTCCTCCCTGGCTTGCTTTTTTGGAGGAGCTTGCCTTTGCCATCACTTCGATGCTCATCTCCAGTTCCTTCAGGTGTCCAGTGCGGACTTACCAAGCCTTCCCATGCTGACCCTTGGGCCTCCCCGTAGTGACCTGTGCTGAACTCTGCAGACCTTCGACTTTTGAGTGGGTCATGGGCTCTGCAGCACAGATAGAAGCCTTCTACATTTTTCCACCCCTGACTCTGCAAGTAGCTATTGTAAGCCTATCTTGTAAATACTTTATATATCATACACATTTTTCATATTAAACTTGTTTTAAGAGTGAACCCTAACTGGTATATCAGGTAAACAGCTTAGTTTCAGTTTGAGCTGAACTTTTAGCATGAGTGCATTTTCATTTTTAGCTGGGTCTCTTGTGGTCTGCTTAAGGGACTAAAACAATAGCTTTCGGTAATCTTTATTTGACACTGTTATCCGCCAAGGTTATTGCATAGCTTCAGACATTGGTGGCACAAAAATCAGGGATCAAGTGTTTGTTTATTTTTTCACCTAAGATAAGGTCTTAGTATGTAGTTCAGATTGATTTTGGACTCATGTAGTTGAGGCTGGCCTTAAACTGGCAGTGATCCTCCTGCTTCAGTCTCCTAAATGCTGGGATTAAAGGCATGCACCACCACACCCAGTTCAATAGAGTTATTTTAATCAGTAAATGACTTCCAGGGAAGGTTTATGTTTTTTTGTAATTGTGGATAAAAACTAAATGAGGTGAATCTGACATAATTTGTATAAAGCACAAAATGGCTTTTTCTCTTCTGACACCTTTCTCAGGTGACACAGGGGTTAAAAAGTATGGCATATTTTAAAAGTCCTAAATAACAAAATAAGACGTTTAATATACATTGCAATGTTATTGAGCTATTCACAAGTTAATTATTGAATTGTTTTCTTTAAATTGGTACCGGGGATCGCACTCACTACCACCTGCTTGCAAGGCAGGTGCTTATGCCGCTGAGCTAAATTCCCAGCCCCCACAAGGTAATTATAAGAGTTACAGAAGACGTTAATTCCCGGCACACTCAAGCACCAGTATCTGGTAATTAACAGTGCTCAAGTTGAAAGTTAGGGGAGGCAAGCTTCTCTCAGCCCTGACAGGGTTCCAGGTAAACTTCAAACGCTGAAATCCAAATGTGAGACATCCACTCCCTCCACTGTCTCTCATCTCCTCCTGAGATGAGCTTTTATGATAACTTTTGACCTGGTAAAGATGTGGGTAGATTTTTTCCCTCCAAACTTTCCACTTCCTCAATTTTGTTTCTTTGTCCTATTTGTAAATACTTCTGGAGAAAGTCGTCGTTTGGGATCTGATCTTGTACCTTTCCCAGCCTCTCTTTAGTGTAGAAATGAAATATTAGAATTACCCGAGAGTAGCAGGCAGAGTGTCTTTTTCTTCAGCTAATAATAGGATCCTGCCTAATCCAGCTATTTTTGGAAGAGTCTCTGCTCACTTCACCACTTACTAAGTGACTTCTCATTTCTACCAGCCTCAGTTTACATCTGTGAAATGGATATACATACACAGATACACAGTGACCAGGTTTGACATTTGGCAGCCCTTTTTGAGTTTTGCACTTGGATTTAAGGGGTTTTTACGATGCCAACTGTATCTTTGGCCTGTGTCTGGCGCTTCGGAAACAGTGGTAAAGGAAGTTTGGGAAAAGGTGAATTTCGCTCTTTGAGCTATGTGGCTCCTTTACCAAAGAGCCCCTAAAGGCTTCCGGACTGTGGACTACAATTCCCAGCATGCCTTGGGCCAAGTATCGCGCTAAGTACCGCGTTCTCGGGAGGCTTTATCACCAAGGGTGTCGCCTTGCTCACCAGTTAGTGTTCCCTGAGTCGTAGTGGAGACTGCTGGTGTTGCCACCGCTGTTACGATGGCTTGGATCTGGACTGTACCCCAACCTCTCGGGAGACGCGGGTCATCGGAACCTCTTTAGTGGCGGAGTTTGGGCCGCAGGCATCTTGGCGGCTGCAGGAAAACAGGTGATCAGGTGGCGCGCCGGGGTCTCCTTGTTGCTAAGCTTTCTGTCCAGCCTCTGGGGCGCTTTCGGCGCCCCCGTCTAGACCCCCGCTCGGGGGTTCTCTGTGCGTTTCCTTCCACCTTTCCACCGGCTCGGCGCTCTTCCAGGCCGCCGGTGTTTCGCTGGTCGAGGTGACTCTAATGGAGCTTCTCTGATGAGCCTCGGAAGCCCTGGCGCTGGGCTTCTCCGCTTTCTCCGGCACCCCCACGCCGCACCCCAGTGTTACCCCTCATTTCTCAAGCTTCTAATCTGCCCTTCCTCGGGGAGCCTCGGCCTTGGCCCGGCTCTAATCGCTCTAGTATTATCCTCCAAGGGTGCAGTGGGCGGTTGGGCCAGACCAGGCCTTTAAGATCCTGGTGGCTTTGTGTGAAAGGAGAAGGGTGACAGGCGGTAGCTCTGGGCCAGAGCTGGGGCGTCAGGGAAAGGGAAGAAGGGAGTGTTTCTGGGTGGAGAATGCACCCTGGACCGGGAGGATGGCTGAATTTTGTCTTTCTGCGATGCTCTTTAGTGAAGAACTGTTTTATCCTCTGAACTCTCATCAGATTAGAAGGGCACAGTAGTAAATGAAAAAGTAAGTACCTTTCTCAGGGCTTTATTTTTAACTGTCCTTTAAAATGGGGAAATTAGCCGAGCGTGGTGGCTCACCCCTGTAATCACAGCACTCGGGAAGCTGAGGCAGGAGCATTGTTGCAAGTTCGAGACCAGCCTGGGCTACAAAGTTAGCTCAAGGCCAGCCTGAATGGCATAGCGAGACCCTGTCTCAAAAAGACAAATAAATAAAAATAGCAGGGAAACTACCTGCTTTGTCGAGAGGCCAAGTTATCTATGAGCTTGAACAGCAATTTGGTATAAATAAGGCCTGCTCTGCAGTGAGGCTGTTGGGGTTAAAAGACTTGAAAGGGCTGTACCAATGCAGATTGTTTGTTGTTAGCAGAACCTCTGAATGGATTCTTCCTGGAGAACTTTGCTAATTTGCAGCAGCTGGACCATGTTCCTCATTAACATCTGTCTGTCAGCATAGTTGTGACATCATTTCACTGTGGTAAGGTGACTTTTTTCACCTAATGTTTCAGCCGGGGTGTGGTGAGACCTTTGATCCCCCACTCCATTGACATGTTGTTCACTCATCAGCTCTTGTGTGTGTAAGTTTGTTAAGCCATAAATCTGTGTGCCTGTTAAAAGAACAGTGTTGGAGTGATCTTTGGGTTTCACCGAGAGAAGATGCTCTTTGTTATTTTTGTCAGGTGACAGGGACCCATCTCCGAATTCTTTGTAGAAAAAGCACCTTGGATCCAGTTTTTCAATGGCTTCAAGACAACCAGAAGTGCCTGGTAAAAATTCTTTTTGGTTAAGTAGTGTTTTGCATTTAACATTTTAAACTAGAAAGAAATAATTCTACCTGAACCATATATTATGGTTTTCTGCCACTGAGTATTTAGACCTACTATATAAGTAGACCTATAGTAGACTGGTATTTGATTATTACTACAGTTGTTGTTGTTATTATTATTTTGAGACAGTGTTTTGCTATGTATCTCAGGCTGGCCTTAACCTATTGGTGATCCTCTTGCCTCTGGCTCCCAAGTGCTGAGATTGTAGGCTTGTGCTACTGTACCTAGCCACTTGAATGGCAATTTAGTGATAGCTTGTCCTTAAAATAAAACGATGTGATTATAGTTAGTGATAGAGTGCCCCTGGAACTGACTCCCAGTATAAAGAAAAGAAAAAGGACTTTCACATAAGGATATGACACATGTGTTACTTTTTGTTTGTTTGTTTTGGGCAGGGTTTCACCACGTAGTTCAGGCTGGCATTGAACTCACAGTGTAGCCCCTGCTGGCCTTTAATGCAGTGATCCTTCTGCCTCAGCCTGAGTGCTGGGATTATAGGTGTGTACCATCACACCCACACCCGGCTTGCTCTGTATTAAATAAGAATTCAGAATGAATTTTGAAATTGCTCCCAAATCAGGTGGATCATCTCTAGTCTAACATTATCACTTGTGTGTCAGTCTTTTGTTGTTTGTTTATTTGTTTTTTTTGTTGAGACAAGGTTTCAAACCTATGTAGTACAGGCTGGCCTTGAACTCACTATGGCTCAGGCCAGCCTTGGTGCATCCTCCAGGTGCTGGGATTACAGGTATGAACCGCCACACGTTTCTAGTCTGTTTGATTGTTGCTGCAGTTACCATAAACTGCCTGTGACTGTACTGAGCAATACCGTTGCACTTAGGTGTTAATGTTTTGTAGTGTTGAGTGGAGTGTGAGCCCTGGTTTAGGTCTTCTCCACACTTGCCTCCTGGTGATACTGGGCAAGATACTTAAAATCTGTCTCAGTTTGCTGAGCTGAACAATGAGAATATTTACATAGTGAAGATCAGATAAGATGAGGAATATAAGTATCTAGTACTGTAATTATTTTCTTGTGCATTTTTATCATAAAATTCATCTACTTAAAGTGCACGTTTGGTCAGGCATGGTAGTGCACACCTAGAATCTCAGCACTTTGAGAGACTGAGGCAGGAGGATCACAAGTTCTAGCCCAGCCTGGGCAACTTAGGGAGCCCCTGTCACAAAAAATAAAAACAAACAAATAAGAACAAGGGCTGGGGATTTAGCTCAGTGTGAAGGTGCTGGATTCAGTCTCTAGTAACGCAAAACAAAAGGACAAAACAGTTCAAAGGTTATTTAGTATATGGACAAGGTTGAATAACCATCACCACTGTTAAAATTGCAGAACATTGTTAACTGCCTCCCAAAGAAAACCTCATACCCAATGTGTAGTCATTGCCCCTTCTGGAGGGCCCTGGTTACTAGTAACCATATTACTAATTATTATTATTAATATTAGTAGTCATCAAATGGTATCTGCTTGATCTCTTGTCATTGCCTTTGGTGGTTTTGGACCCACTGCCAGACAGGCTACAGTCTCAGAAAGCTTGATTATATAATTGTAACAACAATAAAATGTCACCTTGAAGACCGCTCCTGGTCAATAGTCCTGCTGTGGGAGAGTTAGCAAGTCACATAGGATAAACCTTGCTCCCTAGTCTGGCCTAGCTGCAAGTGCCCTTGAAGTGTGTGTGTGGGGGACCCTGCGTCATGGCAGGCAGGATACTCAGCCAGTGTGTTCAGTGGAAGGGAATGGCAGGGTCAGCTGGCATTGTTTTGTAAGTGTTGGTGACATTTCTGTGGTGGAAATCTCTGCTGCTGAAATCCTACAGAACACTAGAGATAAGGCCGACATCATTATTACTTAAGCTGTTTCTTTTAGTGCTGGTGGTTTTTTTTTTTTTTCTTTTCTTTTTAGATAAGGAAGGCAGAGAATTTGTAGTTGTCAAAGGTCAGCTGGCCATTTTCTGGGTGAATTTGAGCAAATCACTTCCCCTCTATGGTTTAGTTCCCTCATATGTAAATTGAGAGCAAGGACTTCATATTCTTGCCTGGTGAGCTTACATAAGCCTGAAATCTCAGCACTCCAAAGGCTGAGGCAGGAGGATCCCTGTGAGCTTAAGGAAGGCCAGTGGAAGTTACCTACTGAGTTCAAAGCCAGCTTGAACTATACGGTAAGACCCTGTCTCAGAAACAGAAAGTGAAAAACAAAGCCCCACAAAAACTTTCATATTCTCTGTCATTTGGGATCCTCAGTGTTAAGTAGTGGAGAGCCTCAACCTTGCAAGGAGGTGGCCTCTGGCATAAAGGACACAAACTGTGGAAGCAGTGACGTTGGAGTTTTGATTCCAGACTGCTTTGAAGTTGTATGACCTTGCTCAGATAAATTGAAATTGAGCTTCAAGTTCTTTAATCTGTAAGAATGGATTAAGACTCTGACTGGGTGAAACAGAAAATTCAAAGTATCAGCAACAGAGGCAGAAATTAGCTCAGTTCTTTGCCTTGAATGGTTATCTATGGAGTCACTGTCTCTGAGCTTCCCTTTCTGCAGATTAATTTAAGGCTTCTTGAATGTCCAGCTGCTAAACCCACCTTGACAGCTGTCTCTGTTCGTAGCTCTTGGGCCCAGTGGGCCTCTAGGCAAGATGTCCCTGCCCATCGGGATGTGCCGCCGGGCATTCAGCTATGATGATGCCCTGCAGGACCCTGCGCCCATGACTCCTCCTCCTGCGGACATGGGTAGCATCCCCTGGAAGCCAGTGATTCCAGTGCGCAAGTATCAGCACCTTGCCAAGGTACCTGACCCTGCTGACTCCTTCTGGTGAACATGGTCCCTTTGTTCTGCCGTCTGTGCCCCAGGAGCCCTCAGTGGCTCCCTGTGCTTATAGAACTGGGCAGCATCTGCTTCCTGCATGTTTTTCTGTGCCTCAGTTACAATTGGTATTTTCTGGTTTGTTTTTTGCCAAATTCAAAACTGGAATAATTGTATCTTCTGCCCCAGACTTTTTGCTACCCTTCTTCTTCCATTAAACACGTAAGCTTGGAGTATGATCCAAGTTCTGCATGTCCAGGTCTTGTTTGCCTCTCCTCGGCTTCCCTGTCCAGCAATCAAACCACGCAAGTTACCTGGTGTTTCACACACTTAATAGGGTATTTTATACTTCTGAGTCTTTGCCTAGCGCTTAGCATAAATGTTTATTCTTCCTGTCCTGTCCTGTTCTGTCTCCCTCTCCTCTACTCCATTTGCCTAAAAAATAGTATCCTTTTTTTGGTTCAAACATCTCTTCTATAAGATTTTTCTGCCCTTCCCATTCTCCCAATGAGTCTACCCCTTCTCTTGATTTCTCCACTGTACCCTGGTTCCCATCAAAATCACTCCATTGTTTGTCACCCTCCTTTGGCTTCTTGAGGCAGCAGCATGTCTAAGATCTGTACAGGTTGGGTATCCCTTATTCAAAATACTTGGAGCAGGAGTTTTAGATTTTTTGCTTGTATCAGTGAGCACCTGGGGATGGGACTCAGGACTAAACATGAAATCCATTTGTGCTTCATTGATACCATGTATCCTGAAGGTAGCTTTATGCAATATAAAGTTTGTGCATGGAATAAAATTTCATGGTGTGGAACTTTCCTCTTGTAGCATCATGTTGGTGCTCAGAGTTTCGTACTTTGGAGCATTGGGGATTTGGGATGCTCCATCTGTGTAATTTCTGCAGTAGTTAAGAATGCTATTCAGGTACACTTAGGTCTTTATTTTTTATTGGTATTTGGAATCGAACTCAGGATCTTGTGCTTGCCAGGCAGGCACCTATGCCATTCAGCTGTATCCCTGGCCCTAGATTTTTAAAATAAAATAGATTATTTTTTAAAAAAGTTTAAAACTAGATTTTTTTCCCCTCCCCTTCCAAAAGTAGATTTTTAAATAAAGTATATTTTGTGACAGGGGCTGAGCGGGCTCTGGCTTGCCCCATGTGTCGTGCTGTCCTTTGTGCTGTCATCTTTGTCACTGCTGCCCTCTGGGAACTGCCACTGGCCTGGGCTGCTCCCATGCCGCAGACTCACCTACCTTGTGGGTTTGCCTTCTGAGAGGCCTATGCTGCTCACATTCTACTCTCCAACCACCAGTGTCCTGGAAAGGGTCTACTCTACCTGAATGACCAGGCCTGTCACATTCTCAGCGAAGCCCGTTTCATCTGCAGCTATGGTGTCACCAGTCTGCCCTGTGTGATAGCTTGGGGCCCAACAGGAATTGTATTATAGGTCTGCTTAAACACACCTTGCACAGTACGGTGACTTTAGGCTTACAGCTTTTCATGTACCTCAGTGTTTCCATCAGAAATAAGGATGTTTCCTGATAGAGGTGCTATGGGTTAAATGAGAGAGGAGTTAACATGTTGCCCCTGGCTTGAGCCACCTGTGGTACATGCATGACTGTCCCATCAGACAGATGGATCTGATCACTTTTATTTGTCTTTTACTAATAGAATTAATAGAAAATTGCCCAGTGGGACAGTCTTTCACAGGTGGTTCAAGCTACCCAGCAAGTGAGACATACATGTTACGGCCCCATCATGACCATGCTGAAGGCTTGGCACAGGTTGGTGTGTGGCTACTGGCTCTCAGCCTAATCCTCAATTAGTGGGCCAAATTTAGTCTCTCCTTTTTAATGACTTATTTTGCTCCCATTATGCTGTCAGAACAAGGAGCTCCTTTCCTTTCTAAGAAAGTGTCCCTTACAACTCTGGGAAAACATGTCAGTAAGTTAGCTACAGGAATCTGACCTAACAGGTCATTCAGGAATAAACATCCTGTGTAGAAAGAGGTGGAAATACTAGGAGAAGAGGACCCTGGCAGCCTGTGTGTGATGTCTAGAGCAGAAGACAAGCAGGTTTGTGAAGCTGCCTGTGAGGGTGTCTTGGTTACTTTTCTCTGTTGCTGGGACAAAACACCCACCACTCAAAATGAAGGAAGGAAAGGTTTATGTAGCTCACTGTAGAGGTTCAGTCCATAATCAGCTGGCTCCTAGGCAGGGTGGCGTGGCACAGGGGCAGCACTGCCAGGCAGCAGCCAGAGCAGAAGAGAGAATAAGCCTCTTCTGCATCCTTATGTTGTACACAGGCCACTCCCCCCACCTCAGGGTGGAGTGGTACAAAATGTCCTTGCCCTGGCTCCCTGCTGGGCCTCTCAGCTAAACTTCTAAACTTCTCAAGTTGGCCCAGTGTATCAGAGCAGGGTAACTCACCCTCTGCTGAGTGCTGCAGCTATTGTACAGGGCAGAGTTTGGTTGTCTCAGCTGGAACAGCTGCCTCAAGGAGAACTCAGCCAGACTGAATACATGCATTCATTCTTCAACCCTGCCTATCATGTTAAGGCATCAGCTATATTCCAACTATATTCCAAGAAATAGGTTCAAGTTTTGCTTGGAGAAGGTCTTAACTGAAAAGCATAGATCCTATTTTGTGATACACCCATTTCAGTACTTTCTGCATCTTTAATTTTTGACCTTTTTACCTTCTTGGTTCCTGTGGGGAAACAAAAAGCATGGTCTCCCCGTGACATCAAGTGCCCAAATGTTTAGGTCAGGCGGAGGCTCCAGCTTTTGCATGTAGAGGGTTAGCAGCTGTGTAGGTTTGTTTTAAAAGACCTTTGTTTGAACTTCAGAGCCATGGTCCTCCAAGCAAAGTTTTGGCACCAGAAGTATCAACATTACCTGGGAATGTGTTATATATATACATGTTTATTTTGGGTGTGCATGTGCGTGCATGGCGGGGATGGGACCCAGGGCCTTGTGCATGCTAGGCAGGTGCTTTGCTACGGAGCCACAGTGCAGACCTACCCAATCAGAAACTCTGGGTGGGGCCTGTCGTGACTTTAACAACTGCTCCCAGTGAGTCCAGTGCTTCTCAAAGTTGAGAACCACTTGGTAACTTCAACCTGCCTAACTGGGAGGAGGGGGCCACTCCCCCTTTAAATATTTCCTCGCTTATCAAATTAAATATACTGCAGAACTTTTTTCCTAAGAGTAGGCTTAGGTGTGTGGCTCCCCTGCCCCAGTGCTGCCTTACCTCTCTTGAACAGGCGGAAGAAGAGGAGACCAGTGTGTCCCCCACTGCCATGACCCTGGCCACGGCCACTGACAGCACGGACAAGGTCCCGGTGGTGAAGGCCAAAGCTACCCATGTCCTCATGAGTTCTCTGATCACAAGTAAGCACCTTTCGTTGTCAGGGCAGAGTGAAGTAGGGGTGGAGAAGCCGCGTGTTTCTACAGCCAGCTGCAGATGGTTTGTGGACAGAGCAGTCCCTGTGTCAGTGCCGAAGCTCTGTTTCAGTAAAAGCTTTGCCAGACATCAAGCGTCTTAGTTGGTGGAAGTACATTCCTGCTGGACTGTTGCCGTGGCATTTCCTGTATTGATCAGTGTGGTCTTGGGCAAGGTACTGAGCTTTTACCCTTTGTCACATGGGGGACTGAGCCAGTGGGTTGACACTGAGGTGAATGGTTGACTCCTGGCTGAGCTTAGGAAGAGCTGCTACTGCCACCCAGCTCTGATGGAGAAGCAACTAAAGCAGCTCCCTCTTCCCTGTGTTTTTTGTTTTTTAACTGAACAGTTCAAAAGAAGAGGGCCAGGTTTGGTGTGAGGTTTTAGGCTTAACATGTTCCCACTGGTTTGAACCACAGTGGTACATGCCTGACTGTCACATGGGACAGCCTGTACCACCTTATGGGACAGTCGTGTATATACTACCAGTACTTCAGAGCCACCCTGACAGTGAGACATATGAATTAATGGCCCCATTGCAGTGGGTTAGGGGTGTATGATTGCTGGATGTGGTGGTGCATACTTGTAATTCCAGTGTTTGAGAGGCTGAGGCAGGAGGATCCCTGTGACTTCAAGGCTAGACCCTATCTCAAAAAAACAAGCAAACCTTTTGATTCTGCCTGATAAAAGAGAGCTTGCATTTAAAAAAAACTCTTATAATAGCTGGGTGTGGTGATACACTCCTGTAATCCCAGCACTTGGGAGGCTGAGGCAGGAGGATCTTGGCAAGTCTGAGACCAGCCTGGACTACAAAGTGAGTCTGAGACCAGCCTAAACTGCATAGAGAGACCCTGTCTCAAAAAGACCAAACAAACAAACAAAACAGACTTTAATAAGTTAACTAAATTTCTTCATTCTGGAGGACCATTCTTTTTTTTTTGTTTGTTTGTTTGTTTGCTGTACCAAGGATTGAACTCATGACTTCACACTTGCTAGTCAAGTGCTAGAGGACCATTCTTTTTTTATTTTAAAGAGAATAAAACAAAAGAGAACAGAACAAAGCAAATCAGAACAGAACAATGCAAGCACAGCACTTCACAACCAGAAAACCGGATATCAGCAGTAGTTACCATACTTTTTTCTTTGACATAGTTGAGCATACCTTCACACACAATATCAAACATAACAAAATAGTATAAAACCATTAAAAAGAATGAAAGCATTACAGGACTTCAAAACCAAGTAACAAAAAATGAACAATGATTACTATAAATATCTCATTTTCCTCAAAAATTTGTTTATACCATCACACATAATAAAATCAAATAAAACACAATAGGATAAAACCAATCAAAAGAGAAGAACAAAAGCATGGTAGGACTTCAAAACAAGATTGTAAATCAGCAATGGCTGCCATAATGTCTCGTTTTCTTCATAATAGCTGTTCATGCCACACATAATAAAATCACATAATCAAACAAAAGACTAAAACTTTTTGGTACCGGTGATCAAACTCAAGACTGCACTAGCAAGGCAGGCGCTTATGCTGCTGAGCTAAATCTCTAGCCCCAATAAAACTAATCAAACCAGTGAATGAAAGCATTATAAGACTTCAGAGCAATATAATAGGAAACCATGATTATTATAAAATATCCCATTATGTTCAAAATAGCTGCCTCTACCATACCACAGCATAAAATCTAACAAAACAAGACAGAACAAAGCCAAACTTAACAAAATTGTGTAAACAATGCAAGAGTTCAAGATAAGACAGTAAGAAATTGACAGTAGTTTCCACCTTTCCCCCCCAGGTTCCCCCCCCCCGCTTGGCTCTTACATTAACTATTTTGCTTTTGGATCCCATTAACTCTTGTTTCTCATGCTAGAGTTCATGCTGTATGAGTTTGAACTGTTTTGACCATGATCATGGTCTCCAGTTGTGTCCATTTACCGACAGGAGCCTTGAGATTATTCTATTTTATAGCTGGGTAGCTTTCCATTGTATATTGATGGATCTTGTTTCTTGATCCCCTCTCTCTGTGTTTCTTTTTATTGCTGACCTGAGGCCATCTACATTAATGATTACAACCAGCATACATTGGTTTGTCTCTGCCCTGCTGTCCTCCTGTTGTTGGCCCTCCATGTTTCCCCTTCATTCAATTGCCTGTCTTGTTTGGCGATCCTCCTGTGCTGCTGTTCCTGGAACTGTGGTCATCTTTATCTCTAGAATACCCTTTAGCACTCTCTGTAGGGTTGGCTTGGTGGTCATGAATTCCTTCAGTTGTTCTTTAACATGGAAGTATTTTATTTTTCCATCAATTTTGAAAGATAGTTTTTCTGGGTAGATCAATCTGGGTTGGAAGTTGTTTTCTTTTAGGGTTTGAAACACTTCACTCCAAACTCTTCTTGATGTAATGGCTTGTGTTGACAAATCTGCTGTGACTCTGATTGGTTTTCCTTTATAGGTGATCTATGTCTTTTTTCTAACAACTTTTAATATTCTATTCTTGTGCTGAATTTCTGGGATCTTGGTTATTATATGTCTGGTTGTAGATTTACTTTGGTTATGGCTAGTTGGAGTCCTATATGCCTCACTTATCTGCATGCCAGATCCATTTCCCATGTTTGGGAAGTTTTCTTTCTATTACTTCTGTGTATATCATTTAATTTCATTTGTGTTGACCCCTGCTTCTTCAGTGATACCTATCACTCTTAAATTATGCTTCTTTGCATCATCTTGCTGCCGTTATTTCCTCCATGTTATATTTAAGAGATCTTTCCTTTCATGATCACTAGCTGCAATCCTGTCTTCCAGGTTTGAAAGTCTATCTTCAGTCTCTTTCAAGCAGTTTTGCCAGCTTTCAGTTGAATTTTTAATTTCTTGCATCTCTCTTTGAATGTGTGTCATACATTGTAATTCCTTTCTACATTCATTCAAGGTTTCCACCATTTTCCTATGCTCCCCTTTATTTTTTTATTTTTTTTTTTAATCGGCACCAGGGATTGAACTCACAACTGCCTGCCTACAAGGCAGGCACTTGTGCCGCTGAGCTAAATCCCCAGCCCCTGCTCCTTTTTATTGTCTGTCTTCTTTAGACCTGCTGGACTATTCTTTCATTGTTTGTGATTTCTTCTTTTTCCTGAGACATTATTTCTGATTTGACTGCTTTTACAATCTCATGAAGTTGTTTCCCTACTTCAGTTGCTATGCTCTCAAAGATTTCAGGTGTGTGACTTCTGTTTTCTTCCATGACTGTATCTCCCAGACTAACTGTGTGTGGGCTAGAGGTCTGAGTTGCTTTTTGCTCCTTTGTCTTGACATTCTCCTGGGTTCCTTCCAGCAAGCTGGTTGTGGGGTCCCAGGCACTTACTATGTTGGCTGCCCCTAAGCAGTGTAGGGAGATGGGACAGGCACCTGGCTTTCTCTAATTCCAGATTTACAGGGAGGTACCAGGGTGTGAAGCGGGCTTCCCCAGAGCTCTGTCTGCAGCTACATTGAGATTTTGCTGATGATGATTGGAGTGCAAGTAGGTGGAGCTGCTTCTCTCAGCCTATGTGTCTATGCTTGGACTCCCACGATAGTGGCAAACACTCAGGTGTGTTTGTCTGATTCTGCTAGTGAGTGATGGCTGCCTGAGGGAACCAAGGGCCTCAACGGTGGCCTACAGATGCACGGGGCTTATCTGGCTGTGTGTCCCTGCTCCTGCTGGCTGCCTGCAGGAAGGAGCCTTCCAGTGGCAGCTCCCTGAAGGTGAAGGTAGATCTGCTGGTTCTGTCTGCCCACACTGGCCACCTGTAGGACGTGGCCTTTTGGTGGCAGCACACAGCAGGCAGAGGTGGATCTGTCTGTTTCCTTCGGCCCGTGCTGGGCATGCAGAGGAAATGGCCTTCTGATGATGGTGCCCAGCAGGCAGAGGTGGATCTTCAGTCTCCTTCGGCCCGCACTGGGGGTGCAGAAGAAAGGGCCTTCTGGTGGTGGTGCCAGGCAGGCAGAGGCAGATCTGGCTCTCTCTGCCTGCACTGGGCATCCAGAGGTAAGGGCCTTCCGGTGGTGGTGCCCCAAAAAGCAGAGGCAGATCTCCTGGTTCTCTCTGCCTGCGCTGGGTGCTTGGAGGCTAGAAGACCATTCTTTTTTTTTTGGTCTTTTTGAGACAGGGTCTCGCTCTGCGGTTCAGGCTGGCCTTAGGCTCACGTTGTAGTTGCCACAATCTGCCTGCCTCGGCCTCCCAAGTTCTGGGATTACAGGAGTGAGCCACCACACCTGGCTAGAAGACCATCCTTAACTGGAAAGTTAGTTCTGCTTGTCAGCAGTAATATTTCTGTTAGGGCTAAGGTACCTAAAGGTTCTCCATGGTTGGCTCACTTTTGAAGTTGAAGCCCTTTTTCTCCAGGGAGTTTGTCTTGGGCTGTTTCTGGAGAGCGTCCATGAACCAAAAGTCCAAAGTCTTTATTTGGTTTTGTTTTTTCAAACTTAAATGTTCCATTTGAACCGGCAACTACTATTTGTATTTTGCAAGCTTGAAAATGTTTTAAAAAGCTTAGTTTTTTTTTTTTTTTTTTTTTTTTTTTTTTTTTTAATCTTTGTTTGTTTTCCAGCACAGAGCAACTTTACTGAAATTGCAGGGGTTGGGGATTTAGCTCAGCAGCATAAGCACCTGCCTTCCAAGCAAGTAGTCATGAGTTCAATCCCTGGTACAACTAAAAAAAAAGAAAGAAAGTGCAGTTCACCAACAGGCTAGATGATACCACTCCAGTGTACCAGTGCCATGCAAATGTCTATTTGGCATACTCATTTTTGTGTTTTTGCATTTTTAAAAAATCTAATTATAGATACCACAGACATAGCATCCAATTTTTTGAAAAAAACAATGTCATGAGGTTATGATTTTGTTAGTCATACGTCTTTTTTTTTTAAATAGCTGCATTTTTAAAGCCCTGGTTTGGTGTACCATAATTCATTATAGTTCCTATTTTTTAGATTAGCAGGTGAATGATAAGACTGAAAACTTTTGTCTTTCAATTTTGAAACAGTCTTTCATGTAAGTCCAAGCGAGGCTTGAACTTGTTATGTATCCCAAGGTGATCTGGAACTCAGAATCCTCCTGCCTCAGCTTTCTGAGTGTTTGGACTCTAGGCATATTCACCATGCCCAGATGGAAAGTATCTTCATATGTGTGTATGTGTGTGTGTGCATGTGTGTGAATGATTCATTGCTTCTATTTCTGATAGAGATACTTCTTCAGAAGAGAAAGACTAAATCATAAAGTGCATCTGGTGTTTAAGACATCTGGCCCACAGCTCCACATTCCTAGATATACAAGTACACAATGCAATTTGTGGGCAGATTAAGGCAGAATTCAGCCCTCATTCATTCCACAGTGCCACAGACATGAAATAATGAGGTCACACTGAATGAATGTTGAGTCTTGTGGGCCAGTATTATTACAGCAGAATATCTCACATGTAAGAAACTTGGTATCAGTTCAAGGCAGGTTGTCTGTGGTTTGAATTTAGTTAATACCTTGTAACCAGTGGGTCTAAATGTGATTTATTTCCCTTTGTAAAGGTTTTTGGGTGGATGATGAGGGTGGCCAGTAGTTCTTAGGACACTTAGGACTTGGAGATTTCTTTCTGTGTCTGAGTGTTCCCTTTTCCATACTGCCCAACACAAAGATGTTAGAGTGTGCAAGTAAGAGGAAGGTGAGCAGCTTCTCAGCTGGCTGCTTAGAAATGACCCGTCTTTAGCTTGGTGTGAGGGAAGGGCCCCTTCTGGCCAGGGAACCTTTGTGAGAGGTTCAGCAGTAGTGCTTTGGCTCCTATCTGCGGGGACCCTCCTCTCTGACCTGCTGTGCTCCCTTGCTGATTTCTGATGGGTTGGCAGGATGGGCATGACTTTGTCTCTTATTTCCAGAACAGACCCAGGAGAGCATTCACCGTTTCGAACAACAGGCAGGGCTGAGAGATGCTGGCTACACACCGCACAAGGGCCTCACCACTGAGGAAAGCAAGTACCTTCGAGTGGCAGAAGCACTCCATGTAAGTTTGTTTCATAGGAACCCGAAGAAGCCAGACCTTCTCTTTCATGGCTTGAGATATGATTGGTTTAGAAGTTGCCACCTGAGCTGGGTGGCGGCTATGGAGGGTGGTGGAGAGAACTGAGCAAGAGGATTTTTTTAGACCTGGGTTGGTCCTGTCCCTGTTGGCACCCCTGGCTGCAGGCTGCGGAGCCTTACCCTCCTAGGTTTTGCTCACTTGTCTATAAATTGAGGGTGCCTGCTTTACTTAGTTTCAGTTAGAAGGGTTGAATGAGCGTCAGCTCACATGTGTGATATGTGTGACTGCTGTGTGAACCATCAAGATTTTTTGTGCCATAGTGACTGACTTTGAGGGAGGAAGAGAAAATCGGGCAGTTTCAAGTTAACGTTTTCAGCTGGAAAGCAGCATTGTGCTCTGCATTTGATTTTTTTTTTTTTGTATTTACTTTTTTAAAAAAGAAGTTAAAATTCAGTGTAGAACTGGAATGGTTTTACTGTTCCATTTCTTAAATTGGAGTAAAGAATAATTTTAATAATTTTAGTAAGGGTATGGTAAGTAGTGAATAAAATAATTTCAAATGACTTTCCTTTACATACAGTCCTGGCTTTATGTAGAACGGTGCTGCATGATTCATTTGAGAAGTCCCTGCAGTCCCCTCATCACCAGTCTTTATTTTGTAAATTAAGAAAATGAGGCCCGAGGTTGTAGATTCAGCTGGTCACAGCACCTGAACTCAAGAAAACCTTGTTTGTTTTTTCCTTCTTCTTCCAAAGATCTGAGAATCTGTCTCCTGAAGAGACTCAGATTATTCTGGGATGGAGGGCAGAGCCAAGCTGTGAACAGGCAATCACAGAGGCCACCTGCCTGCTGTGAGCAAGGATGGGTCACAGTCCAGTCATGCTGTGAGCTTCATCTGAGAAGTTTTTAGTAGAATATGCAGAGTGCTTTTGGGCACAGGGAAGAGACACAAAAGCCAGGAGGGGACCATGCATCCAGTGTACAGGGAAGGAATAATGTGGTTGTTGTGGACGAGTTGCATTGTTATGGGCATTCAGGATGCTGCTTTTATAAGTTGAGTTTATTTAAAAGCTGTTCTCTGGGGAAATCAGTATAGGGCTGGTGGCCAGTTTAAGCTCTTAGATAAGACAGATGCTTCCAGAGGGGCACTGTCAGTGCTTGACCCCTAGGTGCCTTCCAGGGCAGGTGTCAGAACTCCATTTGAGCAGTTCCTCTCGTGGAGTGATAGGATCAACTTTGGTTGCCACCTGTGTTCTGCATCCTGGCCTCAGGGTAGAATGTAAGGATGACCGAAATGATAGATACTTGTCCCATCTTGTGACAGATTGTCAGCTAACACAAATTGATCTTCTGAGTGAGAATGTAGTGTGAGCTAAGCAGTGGTGTAACACACACTCTGATGGATCGTGATACTAGAATGCTGACCTAGAACAGAGGAGCAGTTCAGCAGTAGAACTGCTAGTCTACTGGAGATAACATTCACTTAGAATGCTAAGGACACCCAGAGTGGCTGCTGATGGGAGAGAAGAGGAAGAATGGGCTAGGTTCCACAGAAGCATTCAGCTAGAGGAATAGCAGGCCTGTCTTGGCTTTGAGTTTGGGAATGGTACCTTGCACAAGGTAGCAGTTGTAGGAAGAGGAGAGTGCATGGTCCTCCTAAAAAGACCTGTATCTTGGGTTCTAGTTCCCCACCTTTTTTTTTGTCTTTTTGAGACAGGGTCTCACTGTGCAGTTCAGGCTGGACTTGAGCTCACTTTGTAGTCAAGGCTGGTCTCGAACTTGCAACGGTTCTCCTGCCTCTCAGCTTCCCTAGTGCTGGGATCACAGGTGTGTGCCACCACGCCTGGCCCTGGCTCTCCTACTTACTGGCTGGGCGCTTGTGGGAAAATTATTTCGCTTTAAAAACTCTAGCACACAGATTTTGGTGTGGAGATTTTGAGATGTTACAGACTTGAGTGTAATTCTTTAAAAAGAAGGAATTTCCCAAATGTGGCACTAAGAAATACATGTTATGTAGTCCAAAACCATTCTACTTATGAATAGTTTTTCTTGTCCTCAAATTAGAATGTAAGGCAGATGTTTATGCCCAGGCCCAGCTGTTTTGCAGCTTACGTGGGTTTGCTGTGATACTGAAATCTCTCCTTTTCTCACCCATCTGAACAGAAACTAAAGCTGCAGAGTGGAGAGATGACAAAAGAAGAGAAGCAGCCTGCATCAGGCCAGTCCAGCCCGAGCAGCACCCCTCACTCTTCCCCCAAGCAGAAGTCCAGGTGAGACTTTACTTCACTGCACCCTGCTGAGCCTCAGAGAGCTCCTACTTGTTAAGATGAGCTTTCAAAGGAGAGGCTTAGTTCACAGTCCTGTGCTTTTTGGTGTAAGACACTTCTAGAGCACAAGACACATTGTTTATTCTCTCTTCCAGAGGCTGGTTCACCTCTGGTTCCTCCACAGCCTTAACTGGCCCACCGCCTAGCGCTATGGATCCTGGAAGTGGGGACAAAGATAAAACCTCATTAGATAAGTGGAATGTGTTTGCACCAAGACACCTGCAGAAGTCTGACTCTGGTAAGGCAGTTCTTCTAGGGGAAAAAGCAATGTGGCCAGCATTTACTGCGTTGTACACCGGGCACCACCTACTGGTCTGCAATCATTCACTCTCTGGTTTACTTTGTAGGAGGTTTTGCTGTCCAGGCCTACAAAGGAGCCCAGAAGCCCTCTCCCATGGAGCTGATCCGGGCCCAGGCCACCCGAATGGCTGAAGATCCAGCAGCCTTCAAGCCGCCCAAGATGGATATCCCTGTGACAGAAATGAAGAAACCACCACCGCGGACCCACAATCTCAAACCGCGTGACTTGAATGTGCTCACCCCCACTGGGTTCTAGAGTCTTTCCTGTCCCAGGGACTCTGGGTAGAGGGTTTCTGGTGCCCCACTTACTTTAGCTCTGACATAGGAATGGTATATTGTTAAGCCTCTTCAACAGAGGCTACCACTGCAGACACAGTTAATTTTTGGGAAACATCAGTGCAAAGCTTGTACCTGTGTGGAAGAAACCATTTTGTACTGCTCCAGACTAAAAAATCTGAGCAGTAATTTGGGGGGACCTCGTGACCTATTTTTGTATCATGTATCCTAGACAAGAACTTCAGTCATTGCTTACTAGATAAATAATGTTTATGCTGTTCCAAAGCTGAGGCTTCTTGATTGTTTTATTGTGATCAGCAATTAGACACTGACAGATCACGGTGTAGAGGTGTCCACTAACTCACCGGGGCAATTATGGTCCTTTTGACCATTTAGGACCTGAGATTCCTTTGAGATGTGGTTACAGACATCAGCTGGGCCCAGGAGGGATCTTACCTTGCTTTTTGGTTGCCCTAACAGACCATTCTGTCCTGTAGCCATTCCTTCATGCCTCTTCGTACCTCCTGGACCAGCACAGGAGAGATACTTCCCTTTTGTCATGGAACAGTCTTGCCTAGCCTTTCTTGCACTTTAAAATGAGGTTAGTCTGAATCCAATTTGACAGAAAACTAAGGAACAAAACTCAAGTCTTCTGATTTCAAACTGCTGCACACACAGTATCTTTTCCAGCGGGCCGTGCTGGGAATGCATCTGGGGCCTGGCACATGCTAGGCAAGCACTATACTGCTGGGCTACACTCCCAACCCCAGACATTAAATTATTTTTAGTGTAGATGATTAGTACAGTTACAGACTTCAGGTTCAGATAAAATTAGTGTCATGTTTTTTGTCCTATCAGGGCCTAAAATTTTGTGGAGTGGGAGTATTAGAAGATTTTTTTCATTAAAATGAGGCTCATACCTTTATGTGATATCGTATCTTACTGAAGAAAGGAAAGAGAAACTGCCTTTTTATTTCTTGTCACTGTGTACCTGTTCATTGTCACAAACACTGTCAAATATTTGCTGTTTTTTGTTTTAGGTAGCATTTTGTATACATAAGCAACTGACCTTCCACAGAGAAGCCCTGCAGTCAGAAATTGTTCCGGTTAATTTATTTGTATCTTTTTGTTTTGAGAATAAGAGTCCTTACTACTTTCTCAAATGTGGATATGTCTTTTTGTCCTATTTTGAATAACCACTGTGCTTATACCCAGTCATGGAGCCTAAGCATGGTAAAGCTGATATTTTGAAAAACTGCTGGCTTTTTATTATATCATTTTAACAGCAAATGTTTTATAACACATGCTATTCTTTTGTTTCTATGTGCTACCCCCCCTTTGTTACAACAGACTGGCCACAAAGTTGTATTTCTAGATAATATAAAAACAATGACTAAGATGTCTTGTGTTCTGCCAGGGAAAGCGGTGTCTTTCCAGAAGCAGCCCTTGCATGACGTAACAGTGATGTAGTCTGTCCAGCAGAGGAGTCTCACATCTCGAATGGAAATTTTAAAATATATAGTGTATATACTATCACCTGTTTCAAAAAATGTATAGATAAATAATTTATTAAAAATATATACACGTTGTAGATTTAAGCCATCTTTGGAACAGGCTAGGATAGAATTATTACAAAGATACATACTGAAGACTTAGCTTTATGTCCTACAGATAAATAAGATAGGCTTGGTCCTGTGAGAATTTCACTACTGTACATACTTTGAGAGCTTCTAAGTGGATGGCAGCAGTTCATGGAGGTATTCTCGGTGCTCAGTGCGAAGGAGACCCTGGGGGCTGTGCTAGTTAGTGCTTTGAGGTCGACTCCGCGTCGGGGTTCAAGTCTGCAGCATAGAAGAGCAGGAGCTTCAGCAAGTGCACTTTGTTTTGGAGCTGGGGCACAAGAGGCTCCCCGAGCATTTGGATGAGGCGGTTGCGGAAGGCCTCGATGTGCTTCTCCACGTCCGACACGGAGATGTCATCCCCTTGCTGGGGCTTGGGCTTAATTCTTTTGATGATTAAGTCTTTTCGATCAATCACTGAACTGCGTAGGTGTTCTGCAAGAGGGAAGGGAGTCAGTTAAACTGAGAGGCTTTTTATTCTTTTATGATCTATGGAGGCAAAACTCAAACTTAAGAGATAAAGGCCTGCTGCTTTGCTACTGGGAGGCAAGTCACAGCGTGTGAGTTCTGTGCTAGCCCTGTTTCCAAAAAGGGCTTGTGCTTGCTTTACTCAAGCACTCAAGAAATTTTACACAGTAAAAAATTGTATATATATATATATATATATTTTAGCATTTCCCCCCTTTTGAGTTAAACAAAATAATGAAACTATTTCAAATTAATATGCTACTTGAGAAGATAAAGGTGGGCATTAAATAACTTTAGGTAGATTTCTAAGTATGGAAAGAAACAGTGAATCAAGTTTGTGGTGGTATTGTTTTATTGTACTTGGAACCTGTCTCCTCCCATGTCAGCTCCTGGTACTGGGGATTGAATCCAGGACCTTTGCACTGAGCTACACCCTCAGCTCTTTTTATTTTGAGACAGAGTCTTACCAAGTCACTAAGATCAAGTCACTAAGTCCTAGACTGCAAATAAGAGCCTAGCTTGGGCAATTTAGTGACTTTTTGAGACCTCCTGAAAGGGCTATGAAGTAGCTCAGTATGAAGCCCTGGGTTCAGTCCTTAATGCAAAAACAAAAACCAAAGCTCCAAAATTGATGGAGACCTGTTAAAAGCACACAGGAGTCAACTCTCCCATTGGGCAATGTGATCAGACAAAACAACAAAAATGAATTAACACATTGGATTTTTCTTAGAGTCCAGAGTATATAGGTATGTAGAGGTTTTTTTTTTTTTTTTTTCCTTCACAAGACCAGTTAACTGCAGAATGAAGGTGTAACTAGAACACTGCACTTCTCAACATATTATTTGATTCAAGTAAAAATCCAAACAGATGCACAGTGAAAGGCCGAATGGGATAGTCACAACCTCAAGTTTCACCCCTGAATAACTTACTAATAAATGGAAAACAATGGAGAAGACTTACAGGCCCTACCTGATCCCAAATGACAATGGATTTTTTTTTTTTGGTAGTAGGCTTCACTGTAAGTTGCCTAGTCTGGACTTGAACTTGCAATCCTCCTGCCTCAGATTCCCAGGAAGGGTACATGGTCATCTGTTTAGTAATTTTGCCAATAAATTTTAACATCGATTTTGATCATGAAACAACCACACAATTCCAATTATGAGACTCTGAGCCTTGACACTGAGAACTATTATTATCTAATGTCTGTAAATTATTGGCTACGACTCTTAAAACATGTCTGTTATGAAGGACAAGTTAAATGCCATGTGTTGGTGCACACCTGTAATCTCAGCACTGGCCAGTGCAAGTCCTGGGCCAGCCTGGGCGAGGGCCAGCCTGTCTAAAGAAAAGAAGCCAGAGCATGACTGTGAGTGCAATGCTTGATACTTGGCTAGGACCTGGCTCAGAACAAAACCAATCACCTGTACAGGCTATCAATGGGACAACATTAGATAATATTCTAGCAAGAATCATCTTCTTGGATATGATGATTGTTTCTTTTTTTTTTTTTTTTTTTTTGTCTTTGAGACAGGGTCTCATTATGTAGTTCAGGCTGGCCTTGAGCTCACTTTGTAGCCAGGCTGGTCTCGAACTCACAATGATCCTCCTGCCTCAGCCTCATGAGTGCTCATCCTCCTGCCTCAGCCTCATTACAGGCGTGAGCCACCATGCCAGGCATTTGTAGAAGATTCTTATCCTTAAGAAATTCAAGCTAAAGTCTTTTAAGCAGAAATACGATGTACCAATGTATTCTAAACTCAGAAAAATAAAGCAAAACAAAAACCAAATGAAACCAAAAACCTTCCTCAGGCCCACCATCCAGAGAAAGGGGTGGAATTTAAAACCAGACTTTCAGTCTTTTAATTCAGTCCTTATTTATTTAATCCCTTTTAGTTTTTTTTGAGACAGGGTTTCACCATGCAATTTAGGCTGACCTCGAATTCAGCAATCTTTCTGCCTCAGCTTCTTCTTTTTGGTCTTTTTCGTTTTTATGGGTACCAGGGATCGAACTCACGACTGCCTGCTTACAAGGCAGGCGCTTATGCCGCTGAGCTAAATCCCCAGCCCCCTGCCTCAGCTTCTTGAGTGCTGGGATTACAGGCATGCACTACCATGGCCAATCTAGTCCTTTTTAAAATATGGTATATTGGGGGGCTGGGGACTTAGCTCAGTGGCATAAGCGCCTGCCTTGCAAGTGTGTGGTCATGAGTTCGATCCCTGGTACCAATAAAAAAGAAAAAGACAAAATATGGTATATCTCCACAATATATGTAAGCCTCAAGGAATCTAAGTATTCTTTTACCTTCATATGGCATGAGTTAAAATCAATTGTATTACAATCATGGGCAAGTGTATGTACAGGTACACAATTTTCTTAGTATTTGAGAATAATTTGGAGATGCTATCAAATTTCAGCATGAACTTCCTCAGACCTAAGACATTCTGCTATATCCAGTGTAATTATAAAAATAAGAAACTGAATAGAATATTATAGAATGTCTTTAAATTTTGCCAACTGTCTCAATAATGTATCTTTTTGTGTGTGTGAGACATGCTGGGGATTGAACCCGGCGCCTAATGCCTGCTAGACAAATGCTTTATGACTACGCCATTCCTCATGACACCACCACTCCTCCTGTACCCACCCCCCCCAACCCCTGGAAGTCCTCCAATAATGGACTTTATTACTTCTTTTCTCCTAGTTAGAGGTCCAGCCTAGGTTCATGCGTTGCATTTAGTGTTCATGTGGTTTAGTTTTTTTTAAATCTGCAAGTGTTTCACTGTTTATTAAGATCTTGGTACTTTTAAAAAAATATGGTCAGTTATTTTGTAAAAGGCCATTCAATCTAAGTTTGTTTGAAGCTTTCTTCTGATTGGATCTAGGTCATTTTTTTTTTTTTTGAACAGGTTTGCTATTTGATGGGTCATACATTTTTGGCAAGAGCACTATGTGTAGGGACATAGCTCATCAGCACAGCAACTGCCTGGCAAGCACAAGGTCCTGAATTTGATTCCCAGTACAAAAACAAAAACAAAAACAAAAACAAAACAATGAACACTATGTGATGGTATGTTCTTCTCAGTCCAGTACAGGAAAATTGAGTTTTCTCCTGTGTTAAGGTACTATTTTTCCTTTTATAATTAGTATCTCGTCAGTTCTCAGTTTTCCCAAGGACCTCAAGAATGCTTGGGTGTTAAAAAAATGTTTCTCATTTAAACAAGCTATGCATGACTATCCTTGTCAGCATTGCCTGAGGCTATCTGCTCTAATTTTCCTAGACCGTTTCTGGTCACTGTCTTCATCTGTGATCTGAGGATCTCTGAAGATCCATTTTCATAGACTAGGGCATCTCACATATTTTGCAAACTGTACAAGACATACACATCCAGTGATGTGCTTTGTGTTATACTGGCACTGTACTTTTAGGTGTTTATACTGACTCAGCAGAGACGTTGCAGTGAGAGGCCAGCATTAAATGCCCAGGTTAATAAAGTCACTACTCACGTTATGATGACTTTATTTTTTTGAGACAGTATCTCCTCTATATTCCAGGCTGGCCCTGAATTTACAGCAATCCTTCTGTTTCAGCCTCTCGAGTGCTGGGATACATGTACACCACCATGCCTGGCCTAACTATTATTTATCTCTATAACCTGCTAAGTAGGTTAGGACTAGGTTATGTCTATTGTCAGACATAATAAAGATACATGCCATTCCCTGTCATTCATAGTACAACCAAGGAACAATGCTTTACTTAAGTGAACAAATTTGAAACCTGAGTAATTATTATTCATAATAATGTCCACAGTGACACCTCCAACATCATCGGTTTGTAGGCAAGTACATCTTACCTCTTAGAACATGTTGGTAACTGGACAACAGAAACTGCAGATGCTCAACCAGTTCATCCCAAGTCTGCCACTGGGTTTTATCTGACTGCAGAAATAATAACAGTAACTGATAGTAACTTCCTCAGTTAAAGGTTTCATACACTTTTCAAGGTTTCATACACTTTTCAAGTCATTTTTACATAATGCTCAAACAGTTGTGTTTTAAACTAAAAATCCTATGGGCAGGAAAGGTGTTGTGAGGCTTAGAATTGAAGCAGGAAACAATGTACCTGGCACTTGAGCAGTGATGTGGAATTATTCAGAAAATAGAGTGCTTGGGCCAGACACAGGGGCAGGCGGGTGGGCGTCTGGCAGCTGTGGAGGAATATGATTTCCAACACCTTGCAGCGCAGCAGGTGGCTCTCCATGGTGGTGAAGAACATCTCTCTGTGCGGAGAGAATTAGCCATTACCATCACATTTCAAAGAACACACACCATCATTCACCACGAATTGTCTAACACTTGTCCCAACAAAAGTGTACAATAGAGGTCTACGGAATTACATGCCCATGGATAGACAGAAATCAATCTATGAACTAACAATTAATGGGGTGAGGGTAGAACCTTTGACATTTGAAAAACACAAGTTTAGGACCCAATAAAAAGAATTATATGGTATGAGTTAATCATGAATAAATGTTTCTGAATGCTTGTAACATACCAACTACAGAAGAGGGAAAGTAAGATAAAAGATCACTCTCAAAAATGCCAGTTGCACAGGGCACACAGTGGGAACTTCAGGTCCATAGGCCACGTGCATACAGGTGAAGTGCTAGTGCCCCAGTGACATGCAGAGGAGAACAATCCCCCAGGGACAGGAGGGGAGGCACTGACAGCATGGGCTAAGCGCAGTGGTGGTGAACCTATGGCACCTGTGCCACAGCAGGCTGTCTGGATCACTGAAAGCTCTGAAAGGTTTGTCATCACTGGGCTAGGAGGGGCAAAGTTCAAGCAGGAGGCAGTTCAACAGAGGAAAAACGGCAGCTCCAAAGGAATAAAAATCTACAACTGTGGCTCTGCAGCTCTGAGATTTCAGGGTTTGAGATTCTACAGTTTGAGTCTTACCCTTGGTTTTGCCACTCGGTGCCTGGGTTCACAGCGATGGCAAGCTGAAGTACTTCTGTGACACCACTGGAGCTGGGCTCCAGGAAAGTGAATCACGCTCACTGTTCTCAAAGCAGTAAGCTTTCTAGAATAGGCTGTGAATCTCAGGTACACAGGGTACCTCTTTGGCAGCTGAGGGTTTCGGTTTGTCTGGTTGTCCTTGCCAGTTCTGTGACCCAAGCATTTTAGACTGGCAGACAGCTGGGCAAGAGATGAGAAGATGGCAACCAGAAAGAACAGTGTGTCTTGCTTAGTCAGCAAACAAAAGTTTCCATGAGCCAGACTGGAACATTTCACTGAACAGCAAGGGCATTCGGCTGAGACTCCAGAAAGTGTCAGCCTTAATATTCCTTTATTCTGATAGTCCTTTTAAAAAATTAGTATATCTTTGTGACACATAACAAATACATTCATCATGGGAAGGTGGTACATGTACATATCACATCTTAATCTTCATTCTTCCCCTTTCCACTCTACTCTCTCCACTTCTAGATCTCCTTTGAAAAAGGTCTGTCTCACTGCTTCACATTATCTTTTATTTTGCTCTTTAAATTATTCATAATTTGGGGTTCTCATGTAAGAGAGGCCATGCAATATTTAAGAGTCTGTGTCTCATTTATTTACTAAAGGTGCCTCCATTCTTCTACAAAAGACTCAAATTTATCCTTTTTATAGCTGATTAGTATTAGCCTTGAAATTCTTGCCTTTTAATAAGGACTGCTACAAAACCATACTTAAAAGTTCTAAAATAAACTCTTAATGTGAAGAGAGTAATCTGCCAGCAAATTAATAGCCTATCAAAAATAAATAAAAATACTTTTAAAAAGAAAACAACAAAATTTAGACTTAACAATACAATGCCCAGGAAGTCCAGCACACAGTAAAAATTACCAGGCAAAGGAGAAAGAATAAAACTGTGATTTGTAACTAGGAAGACACAGTCCAAAGAAACAGACCAATAGGTGACAAACATGCTGGAATTTGTAGGTAAGGTCTTTAGAACATCTATTATAAATATGCTCAAGATTTTAAAAACCAAGCAAACAAACTGAGATGTATAGAATTAGTGACCACATGAGGATTTTCAGCAAAGAGAAACGGAAACTATAAAAAGTATGAAATAGCAACTCGAGATCTAAAAATACAACATCTGAAATGAAACAAAAAAAATCACTTAATAGCAAATTGGCAGTACAAAAGAAAAAAAGGTAAGAGATTTTGAAGTTTATCCAAACAAATAGAAAAAAAATGACACAACAAATTCAAACAGAAAACACAGAGCTTTAATGATTTGTGGAACAGGGCTAAGTCGTCTAACATACACATAGTGTAGGGGAAGATGAGAGTGAGTGGTGAGGGCAAAATGTTTTAAAGTTTGATAGAAAATATCAGCCCATGGATTCCTTAAGCACAATAAACTCTAAGCACAATAAGTATAAAGAAAACCACATTTTGGTATTATAGTTAAATTGTGAAAATAAAAACAAAGCACCAAAGAGAAGACAATGTTATAAAGGGACAAAACAGTAAGAAATTGTAGCCATTCTTTTGCCTTTCTGCAAGCTAGGGATAGAACCTAGAGTTTCATGTTTAAGTATGAGCCCTACTACTTACATACACCGTCAGCCCAGAAATTTCTAATGACTTTTCAGCAGAGACAATGCACAGAAAATGGAATGTCTTTAGTTTAAAAAGAGAAAAAAGCCTCTATCAACTAGTAATTTCATTATGTCAAAACATCATCAATGAAGATGAAATAAAAAATCTAGATAAAAGCAGACAGAACTCATTCTTGCCCTACAAAAACAAACAAGTAAACATAAAAAAATCATTTAAAAAAGTAAGTTCTTTGAAGATAAATAATATCAAATAGAATCGAATCTTTAAGAAAGGCAAAAAACATCAGAAATGGTAAATGTAAAAAAGATTCTCCCTCCATCTTTTAATTTACTTGAAAACAACTACATGTTTAAAGCAAAAATAGTAGTTCTCATTCTGGAGCTGCTATGTAAAACATATGGCAATAATTACACAAAGGATGGAAATGGGGATTAAAATACATAACCGAGATTTTTATATGTTAAACTATTAAGGGTAGACTATAGTAAGTTAATGATGTATATCATAATTACAAGAACAACATATATTTTTTTTTCGCAAAAGAAACACTAATAGGCTGGAGATTTAGCTCAGCGGCATAAACACCTGCCTTGCAAGCACGAGGTTGTGAGTTTGAGCCCCGATACAAAAAAAAAAAAAAAAAAGGAAAAAAAATCACTAATAAAATTCAATACCCACGCAAAATAAAACTGTTAGAATAGAATAGAATAGAATAGAATAGAAGGGAATTTCAACTTTTCAGTGAATATCTTAAAAAAACCCATATAGTTGTATCATAATAGTAATGATGTACTAATTAGTAAATAACAAATGGACTGAATACTTTCTCTGTAGATCATGGACAGAGCAGATTCCACTTACTACTGCTACTCAATACAATACTGTAAGATCTAACCAGTGAAGTAAAGAAAGACTATAAAAGACATACATATTATAAAGGAAAATAATTCCAATTTGTAGGTGACATGATGGTCTCTACAGAAAGTCTCAAGCATGTGGATTAGATTTTACTGAAATTTTTACTCCATGGAAGATCTTGTTAGGAGAATTAAAAGAAAACCTGTAGAATGGGCAAAATATTTAAAAACCATAGATTTGCTGGATGTAGTGGCACATGCCTGCAATCTCAGAACTCAGGAGGCTGAGGCAAGAGGACTGTCACAAGTTTGAGGTCAGCTTGGGATGTCTAGCAAGTTTAAGGCAAGCCTGAGCTACATAGCAAGATCTGTCTTCAACCAACCAACCCCTCAACAAAAACCAAAAGGGAAAAAACCTCTATAGATCTCAGAAATGATTAGTATCTAAAATATATAGTTTTTCAAACTTCAACAGTTAAAAAGCAAACAGTAAAAATACAGAGCATGGAGCACCAGGGATATAGCTCAGTGGCACAGCACCTGAGTTCAATTACTGGTACCAAAAAAAAAAAGGCAGAAACATAGGAAAAGAGATATTTCCCTAAAGAGTCAGACATGGATACAGTAATTAAGCATCATTAGCCATCACAAAAATGAAAATGAAAACAACAACAAGCTATCACTACACACTTAACAGCATGGATAAAATAAACAGTGACAATATGAACTGCTATGCAGAGAAACGGGATCATTCATACACTGGTGGTGGGAAGGTAGCAGTTTATTTTTCTTTTTTTTTTTTTTTTTAGGTTTTTGAGACAGGGTCTCACCATGTAGTGCAGGCAGGCCTTGAACTCACTATGTGGCCCAGACTGGCCTTGAACTCACAGCAGTCCTCCTGCCTCAGCCTCTCAAATGCTGGGACTATAGGCATGTGCCATCATGCCCGGTTATTTATTTATTTTGTATATAAAACATTAACATAAAGTTAAAAAGTTGTGGCTATACAAAAAGACTTACTCAAGAAAGTATTTATTACTACTACCACCACTGTTGTCCAGTGGAGACCAGGCTGTACAGGGCTAAGCTGCTGAACACAGAGACTTCTGGCTGTGTTGGAGAAGCTCCTATTCACAGTGCTCTTAAGTCAAGATGACACCACGGCTGAGGCAGCCAAGGACATGGGCTGCTGACTCTCCCTATCCAGAGCAATAAAGCTGCCAACCTTAGAAATCAATAGTTCTCTTAAATGGCACAATTTACTGCATGGAGAATTCTTTGAACTGACTTTTTTTTTTTGGTCTTTTTCCTTTTTATCGGTACCGGGGATCGAACTCATGACTGCTTGCTTGCAAGGCAGGTGCTTATGCCGCTGAGCTAAATCCCCAGCCCCTTGAACTGACTTTTAAGGTCCTGCTCAGTTCCTGTGCTTGCCCTCCTTTGTTTGAAAACCAAATAAATATGGCCTGTCTGGTGATGTTCTTTGCCTTCACTTCTAAGAGAGGGAGGGAGTTCTGATTTTCAGGAGGCACCAAAGATCATGCCACTGGTCTCTTTTACTTAAGACCCTTGCTGTCCATTTGTTTAGGCGACTGAGAGGCCAAGACTATGATAACTGTCTCCATGACCACTCCTGAGCAGTAGGTTTCTTTTTTCTATTCCATTCTTCCCTACCTTCTTTATATACATAATTTTATTGGTCATTGGTTAACATTTTATTTTTCACAAATGATTGAATCTTGTATATTTTTATAGTTCCTTTTTAAAACAAAGTATGCTGATTTAATTTTTTTAATTTTAAAGAGAATAAAACAGAAAAGTAAAATGAAACAAGACAAAACAGTGATAGGACAGTAGGAAATCTGCAATCATTACTACATTGCATGTTGTGATCCTCTAAATAGTTGCTCAGACTACCAGCCCCAGGCTTGCAAAGTCAATCAAACAACATGAATGTCAGGTTGCTTCCTCACTTCAGTTATTATCATCCCAGCCTGTGTTACATTTGGTTTCTTGGGGTGTGGGCAGGGGGGGGCAGAGGTAGCTTTTCTGCAGCAGGCTTTCTCTGCTGCTCACCTCTCCAGCATTTTCACTTGGCATGCAGAATTTTACTCACGTCTGACTTCTGCTTTTTAAAAAGTATGTATCTTGGAAATCAGTTAATAAAAATGTCCTTTTATTTTCATCTTTCTATAACTGCATAGTACTCCATCATGCAGATGGTATTCAACCACTGCCCTATGTATGAGCATTTAGATTCTTTCCAATATTTGCAATTAATTACAAACAATGCTATAGCAAATATCCTTGTGCATATGTATTTTCATGTTATTAGAAGTGTGTCTTCAGGGTGAATTCTAGGAGTGAGATTGTGGGATCAAAGGTAAATGCGCATTCAGTTCTGTTACTAACTGCAAAATTCCTGTCTCATTAGGGTTGCATAATTTCTGCATTTTCAACAGCAATGAAATGAGTACATGTTTGCTGATAGCCTTACTAGTAGAGTATATTATTATTCTTTAAATTTTAAACTTTTTAGATGGATAAGATATAGTATCTCAGTATAGTTTTAGTTTACTTTTCCTTAAATATGAATGAAATTGGACATTATAGGAAAATATAATTACAGAACATTGCTCTTATAAAAAAAGAACCTAAAATATTTAACAGAGTAACAGCAACTTGAATCCATGAATATGTAAAAAGGCAACATGCAGCCAGGTAAGATTTTTATTTCAGGAATACAAGTTGATTAAAATTTAAGAAATTATGGGAATCAATGTAACTCCTCACAACAACAGGATGATGAAAAATTATGCTTATTTCAATAGATGCAGAATGCACAAGTGATAAATCTCAGTATTTATTCTTTAAAAACACATGTGTTAAACTGGAAATGCAAGGAATTTTCCTCAGTCTGACAATGGCACTTGTGAAAAATTTAGTGGCACATGTGAAACATTAGCTCACATTTAGTGGTCAAAGACTGCAAAGGGAACCTTTTTAAGATCAGGAGCAAGGCAGTGCATCCGGTGTAAGGCAAGAAATAGAAAGAAAGGCATACATATTCAAAAGAGAGACATTAAACTTTATTTCTGATAACATGACTGCAGTATGTAGAAAATCCTAAAAAACTAGCAAAATCTACTAGAATAAATGAAGTTATCTAGGTGCAATTTTTCAATATATTATCCATAATCCACTGGAAAATGACATTATGCAGATGAATGCATTTGCCAACTCACTGACTGATAACTTTGTAAATTAGTTTGTATAATAAATTATACATATATTTAGAACTAAACTAAAGGCCACATAAATTATCTTCTAGTATAATTGGCGTGGGGGGGCTGGGGATTTAGCTCAGCGGCATAAGTGCCTGCCTTGCAAGCAGGCAGTCGTGAGTTCCATCCCTGGTACCTATAAAAACGAAAAAGACAAAAAAAAAAAAACAATGGCGTGGGTGGTGAATTTGTCCTTTCTGGGAGAATTTTAAAGTAGAGTCAGCTTTTCTTTAATTTTTTTTTTGTCTATTTTAAGTCTAAATTTGAAGGATAAGTTTTTAGCCAAAAGATACGAAAGGAAAATTTAGTCTCCATTTAGGGTATCCTACCTTTTCCCAAGAAATTATGCCTTATTTGAAAAAAATGCCAATTAGTCGGGAACCTCCTTTCACAGGGTCAGAGAGATGTAAATGATCCATTTCCTTCTTCTTCTTCTTTTTTTTTTTTCCCCTTCTTTTTTGGAATTGAACTCACAATCTTGTACTTGCCAGGCAGGAGCTTATGCTGCTGAGCTGAATCCCTGGCCCCTGTTTCTTTCTTTTTAAAGCTTGGGCTTTATCTCTCTTGAAATTTTGTTTTTAGTAGGCAGTATAGTATAGGTATAAAAGATAATTGATAAAAAATAACTTACTAGAAGTTTCTTTTGTTTTTAATGAAAACTAAAACAAAACTAGACTCACCTTTGACTCCTTAGAGGAATGTCCAAAACAAATCCAAACATCATCTCAGCGATTTTATTGGAGCTGCAGGTAGGAGTCCTGTCCACCTCCACAGCTATGGACAGCATCCTCTGAAGCTGGCACACAATCCTGAGTCCAGAATATGAGACACAAGTGAGTAGGGGGAATCAGGAACAAGGTGCCTTGTGACTGGGATTACATCCCCACAAGTATACACTAACAGACTTAATAAAGGGTTCTATAAAGCACACACTAGATTAGGGACAACTGCTCAAGACATGAGCATGCTTCTGTTTAGCAATCTCACCTACCTGAATCCCATTTGCCAGACCATACCTCTCAGAACCTGGGGATAAGCTGCAAAAGTAAGCTGCTTTTTAAAAGTCTATTCCCTTCACTTCCTAGAATTACTTTTATACTGGTAATTGAACTCAGGACCTTGCCCTTGCCAGGCAGGTACTTATATCACTAAGCTGTATCTCCAGCCCATGAGAGCTGCTTTTAAATTCAAAACAACCACATAATCTAAGGGTCCAGAGAACTTTAAAGACAATGTAATCTATACTTTCTCTATTTTGTAAATGAATAAAATCAGGTCCAAAATGAACAAAAATTTATTTGATACAGGAATAATTCTGTATCTATCATATAGTTTTCTCCTCCAACTGGTTCCTTTATGGTATAGTAGTTTCTGATTACGTTCAATCTCAGAACTTCCATTGTTGGAACCTGACCCCTCCCATCAGACCTGATCATGGATAAAGCCAACCTGATACAGCTTTAGGAATCTAGATAACACCTCAAAAAAGTAAACCCAGCCTGAGGTCAGCCCTTTCTAACATGTGTTATTTGTGATAGAAGAAAAGTTTTATTTTCAGAAAACTTACAGCTAGGTGGACAAAGGTCTTTGGTATAAAATTCTGGGTCTTCAGTGATAAACTGGTCAATGTTCAACAAATTATTACATTGCTCTGAGTTCAGGTCTGCTCACTTTTGAAAAGGGGGTGTGCTATCATCTCTTTCAAAAAGTTGTGAAAGATGTGAAACGTATCTGGTGGACAGGTACTCAGTGATGGTAAATATAGCACCTAGAATGATAACTGATAAGATCATGACACAACTAACTTTTAAGGGTCCTGTTGTTAGTCCTATTAACATTTACTTAAAATTTATTATATGAGGTAACCTTTCATTGAAGAAGCCATATGTTACTCTCTGGGGTCTGTAAATGGTACCTCCAGGGTAACCCAACTTTATCATCTCCCCAGATATGCCCAAATGACTCTGCCTCAATAGGCCCAATGCTTCACTGTTGTAAAGCCATCTCCTTGAGATAAGTTACTTGAAAACTACAGAACTAATATCAAAATCAGGTGATCCCATTATATTATGTAGTTACCATATGTGAATTTAGGTGCAAATGTTAGATGTGAAATGTCAAGAATGACTGGCTTTTACCAGTATGATAGACATGAAATTCTAGGTTGCTTGTGTTAGGAAAGCCCTCACCTCTAAAATCTTGGTGTCTCTCAAAACAAAAACAAAGACAAAAAACAGACCAGAGCTACTCTCCAAAAAAGAAACACTATGAACGCCTTTACAGCGCAGTCTGAGGCACAGAACCTGCCCTGGTCTGAGCCAGTCCTGTGGCACCGGCTGGAGCCTGTAGGTCGACTGCTATTTTCCTCCCAGGAACGAAGCAGTGCAACACCAGCTCCTGAGCACTACAGGCTGCTGGAGCACTCTCTACCTACCACTCCTCTAGGTCAGTGGATATCTGAAGTAATGACTAGGTACAGTACTTGGGATCCAGGAATAGGAGGACAGGGTCCTCCAGCTCTTGTTTTATTTCTACATTGTGAATTTGTATTCACTTGATAAAATTTTTTCTTGTTTTGGCACTGGCGATTGAACTCAGTACCTTGAGCTATACCTCAACTCATTTTTATTTTTTGAGACAGTTGCTAGATTTCCAAGGTAGGACTCAAATTTAGGATCCTCTTGCCTCAGCTTCCCACAGTGTTGGGACTGCAGATGTGTGCCATCATATCTGGCCACTCTGTGAAATTTAAACATCCTAATCATCCAGGAAGATTAAAATTGTCCTACCTTAAGAGTTAGAAATTTAGCCTTTAGTTAAGTCTTTAATAAGGAACATTGTAAGATACAAGATCTTGTTAGTGATGGGGAAGTTGCTCCTTTGAGCCTGGGGTTATTCTCTAAAACCCTAAGTCCCAACAATCCTGGGAAAGATCACTGGGCCTGCCCCTTACAGCTGATTAGTGTTCTTGGTCAGGTTAGGCTGGGGAGGGGGTTGGCCACTGCTGGTTTTCAAAACTCCTCTTCCTGAAGAGGTTTGGCTCCCACTTGGGTACTGAGTTAACCCATCTTCAGTTACTGCTTTGACCAGCCACTTGATAACATCTCTGCAATGGAAAAAAAGAGAGAAAGGTTTTAACTTCTGGTATATTTATGGTGCTTGGGACTGCAGCCTTCAGCTATGATACAAGATCCCTAGATTTCTCCAATGGCAACAAAGGTGGCTTTAGACTATTTTTAATATATGAACAAGCCTTATTAAAACCCCATATTTAATTACAGCATAGTTAACTAAAATACCAACATTTCCCTTTGAGTTATAATTACTGAAAACCATGCCTGGGGTCAAAGAATATTATCTGTAGCTTTCTGGCCAAGAACCTCACTGAGCTAGACAGAAAGTCGGAGTGGATGACCATAAAAATTCCCATCAGTTTTCTATTACCAAGTGACATCTACTGATGCTAGTATATGAGGTTTAATGAATGTGCAAAGGTGTTGTTCCTTCTATAGGCTTAGGCTCTACAAGGCAGTAACATCCCATATACTCACAATTACTTTTGATGACCATGTAGGTAACCAAGAAAAAAATGGTGGACCCAATACACAGACCTAATTTGCTTTCTCCTAAAACTCTAGTGATATTACAGCACATTATTTTTTAAAGTATCCATAAGAGGGAAGAGGGAAGACAACAATAGTGAAATTTTGGAAGAGAGGGGACAAGCGAAACATATTCAATACCATGTAATATTACATAGCAGTCAAAATGAGTAACTTACAGTGACAAACAGTAATATGGCCAAATCTTAATATTACAAAACATTAGGTGAAAAATAAAAGTCTCAGTTGATTAAATACAACATAATACCTTTTAATATAAAGCCACAAGGAACTAACATAAAAATATATGTGTATTTACAGAAACACATATACTCTATAACTACGTATAAAGGAAAGGACTGAAATGATCAACTTTCAGGATGATGATTACCTCTGCTACAGGCAAGTGAAAAGGTGGGTGCCAGATGGACTTGTGGTACATCACAGGTAATTGTCAAAGTCCTACTCTTTGATTAGGGATGGGTAAAAAAAGACACTGATTGAAGGTAACCATTACCTAAGCAAGTAAACCAAATGTGTCATGTTTTAAGGATAATGTTTAATCCTAGTCTGTGACTTTGGTAAAGGGATAAAGGGATAACTTTTAGTTGACTCAGCAGAACTGATAAAGCTAAATCTTAGGCTAGCTGTAGAGAAGATTAATCCTATTTAATCCTAGTTATAAAACAAAAGGAAGGAAGGAAGAAAGAAAAGAGGTTCAATAAGCTCTGCAAATGAAGGTATAGAGTTTCTCTGATGAAAGGGAGAAAGGGGCTAAGTTTTAGAGTATGTGCTGCCGAAGTGAGCAAAAAAGGTGAAGCTGAAGTAAGAAGGGTGGCTGGAAAGCTGTTTAAAAAATTTCAGCCTCCTCGATCCTCTTTCCAACCCAGTGGACTGCAGGCCGCCTCTGTGGAGAGACGCAAGAGAGGTCTCTGATCTGGGATAGCGGATGCAGTGAGTGTGGAGGCAAAGGCCAGAGAAGACAGGGACCTGAATGAACACTGCATGCCAAGCGCAGACCTCCAGGTCACCTTCTCGTACCTCTCTTCCAAGCCCCTGGCATCCTGGTCTTTACTCTTTGTGTAGGAGACTGAAAGTCTTCTCTGGAAAACTCAACCTATCCAAAAGGGAAGATCTGAAGACAATGACATGACATTTTCTAAGAAACAGAAACAGTTCTACCTCTAGGAAAATATGGAGATGACAAGTCCTCCTCTGTCCTCAGAGCTTTCAGCATTTTTGAGTCTCACCTTTCAACATGGATACATTACTGAGGCATAGCAGACCAAGGAAAGTGTCTACCGTGAGAGTCAGAGATCAAACAGCCAGCACCAAACCCCTCCCCACAAAAGGACAATTTGGAGAGAATCAGAGAATAAATAAAACCAAAATCTATCATTAGCATTATCAAAGGTACGAGATGGCATGCGTTCAGGGAAGAAGAAAACAAGACAATCTACTTTCTTCTTTTGTTTTTATTTTTATTTTACTTTTTAGAACACGGTATACTATTTGTTGATTTTAATAAGAAAGATGTGGAGAAAAAAATAAGAGTTCTTGAAAATTAGAAATGTAACAGAAATGAAGAGTCCTATTTTCCAGAAATGAAGGATTATTTATCCAGATGGAAATGTCCCAAAGAATGCTGGATGCAAAGGGTAAATATAAACCTATAACAAGCATATAGAGCAAAAGGAATTTTATAAACGTCCAGAAGAAAAAATCAGAACATATATAAAACATCAGTAATCAAAATAGCTTATGATTTCTTAATAACATGTTACTAGATATGAGTCACTATGTGGGAAAAAAGTTTTCAATAAGAGGGTAAAAATTTTATTTCCCACATAACATTCTTAGAAACTTGTTAGAGATTGATTCATCAAAACAAAGAGCAAGTTGGACCCAGAGATCATGTGGACCTAGGAGATCAAGCCCAGCTGTGGCACCATAGCAAAATCCTGTCTTCAAAACAAAACAAAACAACTAACCAAACAACAACAAAAGAAGGCAAAAACAAAACAAAACAAAACAAAAAACCAAAACCAAGAAGGAAAAGGACATGGGACAAGAAAGAGGCAAAAGGAACATACAAGTTTATGAGTCCTGGCAATGACTGAAGGAGTCAAAATGCTCTAACTCAGACCTTCAAGAGGAAACTGCTAAGACTACCCAGCGGGAACAAATACTTTAAAGAGAGATTGAGACCAACTAGCAGGGAATTCAGGGTTGACTTTTGATATGCACACAAAAATCAGACAAATTTGAACTCTAGGGAAAGCAACAGACATGAATAAAAGGAAAAATAATCATAGTACCTGGCCTAACCTCTTACTGTCACACACAGTCATACCACAGACACATTGAACACTAACTTTAATAAAATTATAACTATATTAATTGTGTAAGGACTGGGAAACATGGTGGGGGAAGAGTTGTCTGCTTATCTTTCTTGAAGTAAGTCAATAACTGACAGTGGCCAACAAGTGAAAAATAAAGACATATAGAAGTAAATAGCAGAAGAATAAATTAAATGAGTTGGGAAAGGGAAGTGCAGGTTAAGAGGAACTACAGATTTATATATTTCTTTTATTTTAATTAAAAAAATTTTTTTTAAAAAAATTAGTACCAGGGATCAAACTCATGACCGTGTGCTTTCAAGGCAGGCGCTTAGGCTGCTAAGCTAAATCCCCCGCCGGTATATTTCTTAAATTTTGACAACTAGTTTATTCTTTGGATGCACAGTTGAAAATAAAAGAAAATCACTTTCTCTTCCACCAAAATTCCTATTTGAAGTATAATTTACATAGAATAAGTTATACAGATTTTATATGATGAGTTTAGATAAATTATGTATATATCCATGTATTCACCACATCAATCCAATATCCATGTCTTAATGAACCAAAGAGCTTATATAAATTGGTTATGGTGGCACACATCTAAAATCTCAGCACTATGGGAGGCTGAGGCAGGAAAATTGTAAGTTTGAGCTCAGTCTGAGCAATTAAGAGAGATCCTATCTTAAAAAAAATAGTGTGGGATATACTTTAACTGGAATGAGTGAATTATTTTTCATTGTTTAAGATCTTCTTCAAAACAGAAGATCTGACTGGGATTTCAAGTCTATAAATATTCTCCTTAGAGTTCAAGGCCAGCCTGGGATACAAGTAAGACTCTGTCTCAAAAAACCAAAAAACTGCCCCCTTAAAATATCTATTTTTAAACCCAAATATCAATTCATATAATTAATCCTATAAAAGGGAGAAATGAAAGCAACTATGGGAGCAATAGGTTCACATTTCCATGTTCTACTCACTCCAATGCCTACTCTCACCAAGTGTAATGGAAGACGGAACTGCTCTCATTACTTAACCTGTTTCCGCTTTAAAATTCAAGCATATTTTCCTAAGCCAATGGTGGCACATGTGCTGCAACTTGTTGTTTGTTACCATCAAAAACTCGCTCTAAAAGGTTCACCATCACAATGGAATATGGTTTTTGGGGAATGCAGGAAGGTCAGAATTCTCTGGGAACTAAGACCTCAAGTTCCCTGAGGCACTAATATATATATATATATATATATATATATTTTTTTTTTTTTTTTTTTTTTTTTTTTTAATGTCAAAAAGAAAGAAACTTCAATTGCAGTTCAGTTTAAGAATTCTTATGTTGGATAGCAGAACATGGTGGTTCACTCCTGTAATCCCAGCACTCAGGAGTCTGAGGCAGGATTGTCCTGAGGAGTGGCCAGTCTGGGCTGTAGACTTGATGGCCAGCCTGAATTACATAAGGAGACCCCGGGGAGTAGGGGGTCTTGTCTCTTAGCCTGTGTGTTGGCTGGGAGGGGTGGGTTGGCTTCCTGGTTTTCCTCTCAGCCTGCATGGCTGTTGCTGGCTCAAGGGAGGCACAGGTTGGCTTCTTGGTTCTCCTCCCAGCACACGTAGCTCTGGAACATTCATATTTATTGGGTTTATGAACAAAGGAATGGAATAATGAGGTAAAGTGGGAACTGAACAGAATCTTGGGAAGTTTAGATCAAAGACTTCTCCAAGTAGTACATTTTGCCAATTAAGAGAAATGTCCTATTTCTAGGATTGACATTTATAGCAGGAGGCAAATGGCTATAGCTATAGGCTTTACCTTACAAATTGGAGGAAGAGCCAGGTATCCTCAGCTATGGCTTTGTCTTACCCTCCAATGTGTCACAGTGTCACAAGCCAATACCATGTCCGCTGACACGGAGGGGTTCACTTATTGGACACCAGCCGCCAGTCCTGGAGCAAGTCATCTAAGCCTGGGACCGACTCATAAGAGTTTCATAGTGGTCTCTATCACTAAGCTCTTCACAGAGTCTATAAACTTCTATATAACAATTACTTTTCCTGACAATTACTAACATTTAAACTATGCATAAAATGCCACATACAGATGGACAGGGTTATGTAAGCTAATACCTACACAGTAATGGAATTCCCTTTTTTTAATTAGTTTTATTTTTATTTTTTAGAACTGGGGGTTGAACACAGGGCCTTCACACAGAGCTATGTCTCCACCTTTTCCACCTGCCACTTTTTTTTGAGACAAAGGCCTGTGTCACTAAACTGCCCAGGCTGGGCTTGAACTTGTGATCCTCCCACCTTAGTTCCTCAGAGTGCTGGGATTACAGGTATGCATTACCATACCTGGTTTGGAGTAATTATAATAGTCTATATCTAACATTATCCTATAAAAACTATTCTCAACAAATATGAAGGACCATGTGGAAATGTAAGTATGAGTAGAATAATTTCAAGGCTGCTCTTAAAAATAGGAATATTGGTACACCTTTCTAGTGTGATCCATTTCCAAAAAAGGCAAGGCATGAATTCCCAGAAGGAAAGTTTCAGCCTAAGATCTTCATCTTCCAGCATACAGCAGTTTCGCATTTCAAAACTTTTAGGAACTGCGGTCCCAGTTCTACAGAAAAGTGAACCAACTAAACAAACAAAACAAAACACATGCTTGCTACTTTTCTGAAACTTAATGGCAGCCACATGACCTACGGCCATACCTACTACTTTTTAAATACTAGTAGTGAAAAATGAGATTTATATGAAGTTCACAGTGGAATAAAAATAAATTAGTTTTTGAGATAGGGTCTCACTATGTAGTTTAGGTTGGTGTTGAACTATGTAGTCCTGGCTGGCCTCAAACTCACAGTGGTTCTCCTGTCTCAGTATCCTAGGTGCTAGGTGTACACCACCCTGCTCAGGGGGAAATACATTTAAATGTATAAAAATGGAAATGTTTTACATGTGAAGGTTTCCCTCTGGATCTCACAAGGCTGTTCAGAGAATATGGGACTAGTCATGCTAATGGTAGTCAGATGGTCTTGACAGAAAAATCACCTCAGTGCTGGTGCTTGTCACATTGTTGGTGCAGAGAAGGTTTCTTTTCTGATTATCTACAGTTCTAATAACTATCCCTATGACAGGATCTAGTTCTCATCCATCTGATACCTTCTGGGCCTCAGCCCTTACCGTTTGTCATCACAGGCTCTGTGGGCTGCTCACCTGACATTGTGGGGCTGCTTGTCACAGGACAGCACAGTGTTGGCAATGGACTGCTGCAGGTGGTGCCGCTGTCTCCTCAGTGTGTGCTGGAAGTCATCTTCCAGGGTCTGTACTACGTAACGCAGAAAAAGGATTCGCCCAGGCAGAATCTGACCCTTTGGGAGCAAGAATGACAAGTCACTTTTCTTTTTAGTCTTCCGGATGACAGTGAGCACTGGCTGTCATAACCACAAGGTCTTCTGGATTCAGTGGCGCACCTCTGCAATTCCAGATACTTTAGAGGCTGAGGTAGAAGGACTGCCGTTCAAGGCCAGCTTGGGCAACTCAGTGAACCCTCAATAAAAATAAAACCTAAACAAGGGCTGGAGATGTACAGTACTTGCTTAGCACGCACAAGGCCCTGGAATCAATCCTGAGTACTACAAAAACCAAACCAAACCAAACCAAACCAAACCAAACCAAACCACATCATATCCCAAAGTCCAAGGGAAAGTAATGAGTTTGTGCCCTAAGGAGAGGCTTCCTAGAGAGAACAGGGAGTCAGGGTCACTGCAAAACTGGAAAAATAGGGGAGCTGCTAAAGGAATCATATTCTGTAAGGACCCAGAAATTGTTGTTCCCCTAAGAATTAAAAAACAATTTATTTATTTGAAAGATCTAGGACTCTACAGATAATTAGAATTTCTTAATAGCTAAGGTACAAGTGGAGGTCTGCTAGAGTCTCTATGATTGTAGTTTTTGATTTTAACAATCATGGGAAGCTAGTTTCTCTAACTCACTGGTCTTAATCAGACTCAGGATAAACACAAAACTGGGATGTACACACATAATCCCAGCACTTGGGAGGCTGAGGCAGGAAGACTGCCGTAACTTCAGGGTTAGCCCTGGCTGCATAGTGAGTTTATGGCCTGCCTGGACTAACAGTGAGACCTTGTCTCAAAAACAACAAACGAACACTCCTCCTCCAAACTAGCACAAAACTGGGCTATCAGATCAGAGAGAAACTGGTTCTTTAATGACTGCTGAGCTACTAGATCAGTATCATTATGTCCACTCTACTGCTGCACTTCCAGTATTACATGCCAATACATGTCAGCTTAAGGTTCCATCTCAACTAGCAAGGCTGAGCTAGGTATTCTGTTACAGTGAAAGGAGAATAACTCACACAGGTAAAAAGCATGGGCTTTGGTGGCACACACAGACCTTGTGTTTTTATTGTCTGTTTGCTTTATATCTAGCTTTATTGCTTATTTAACCTACTCAATCTCATCCTTAGTGGTGTTGTGATTTACGTGGGATAATCTACTCTAACCAAAGATTGAGTTACTGTGCCCTCACTTATCAACATTAGACATGATTTACTGGATCTTCTGTGCTACATCAGGATTTAACTCCCTTATGCCAAACTTTTCTTCTAGAAATAACTGTTCTCTGTCATCTATAGGCACTATCTCCTGGTTGGCCCTTTACTTCCTTGTTGCTGGGACAAAATACACAACACATACAAGTTAAAGGAGGAAAGATTTATTTTAGCTCAGTTTGTGCCATGTCACCCTCCAAGGCAGGGTGACATGGCAGAGGGGCGACCCAGAGGAGAAACAGTACATTGCATGGAGGCAGGAACCAGCGATCAGAGAGCCTCCCTTTTCCTCTTTATTCCATTCCAACTATAAGCCTATTGGCTGGTATTTTTCAAGTGCAAAGTAGGTTTTTCATCTTCAGTACATTTAGCCACACCCAAAACTATGCTAATCTGATCAATAGCCTCATATAGTTATCACACCGATAAGCCATATTCACACACCTTAGATCCAGCTACCTCTGAAAGCCCCCCCCCCCCTGTGAGTGCATGAGGCTTTGGGGGAACATCTTGATACAAGCTATAACAACTACTTTGAAAGATAAAGGTGTTATAATAGTTCTACTACTTTTACAGACCTTATTTCTTTTCATCTCCCAAACTTTTATTTCTACAATTTTCAACTTATATTATCAAGGGTAAAAAAATTATCTCCTATTTTGTATAGAAATTGATTCTGAATTATAGCACTAGTTTTTACAGCATGAGAAGTATGTTAATATTATTCATTACACTGGAAATTCATATACTATATTAAAATACTATTCCTTTCTTGTGAAGTTTTTTCTTTTTCTCAAGAGTTTTATTTTTTTTCTTCTCCCTCCATTCCTATTTTGCAGCAGTTTCTAAGCTACGCTGCTATTCTCTCAGGACAGACACTAGTTACTTGGGCAGACTCCAGATGAACCTGCACTACGGGTGTACAGTATGCTCTCGTTTCTGTCCTACGTAGAATCTTTTCAGCTGTGGCTTAGTGGGCATGGGATGGCCAAGAACATGGCAAAGCACCACAAACATTCAGATGTCTTCAATGGAGTATTTTCTTGGTTGTGTATTGCTTTAGTCACTGTAGTTACTCTGCTCTCTAAAGTTCTCACAAAGGTATACACACACACATATATATAGTCTCCCTGTGCAGTTCAGGCTGGCCTTAAGTTCACTACATAGCCCAGGCTGGCCTTGAAATTACAGACATCTAGGAAGTTGTGCTAGAGCTACAGGTGTGTGCCACCATGCCCATTGGTCCATATATTGTTAACTGTGTCTTCATTAGACAACATGGGGCTGACACTCCCTAGTCTATTGCTGATGCCTCTCTGAACATTCCTACTCACAGTCCTCTGCAATGTCACTCCAACTGAGACTAACTGCTCCCTAAGTCTGCTATTCATTGTAATTTTGAGACTTTTATTCAATATTATTTTAGACTTGATCTAGAGTTCCTTATATATCTCTTTGTTTTAGATATTCCCTCATTCCTTAGATATATACCCAAAGAGGACTTCTTCCTAAGAAATAGTGTGGAGATATGTTTTCAGGTTCATGCATATCTGGAAATGTCTTTATTCACTTTCATACTTAATTCATAGTTTGGCTGAGTATAGAATTCTAAGTTGAAAACTGTTTCATCTAATTGCTTTAAGGTGAGCAGACAGAAAGTTGGCAATTAAATTCTGGGGTCTGTAAAAATCAGAATGTGGGACATTTTTTCTGGAGTACCAACTGTACATGAGCTATCTTTGCTATAGGTGGTTTATTAATGTCTTTACACAATAAATCTTTTGGTTTTTTGCCTAAAGGGTATAGAGTGAACTTTTTGTGCTAAAGAACCAAGAGGCTATTTCATGTAAATATTTTTAATAGATAACCAATTGCAGCTTATATCTGACCGCTATCTTTTACCATGTATACTGTATTCCTGAGTCCAAAATTCTAGTCTGAAGGTGTTCTAATTCTTTTCTCCTTGCCTGCAGCTTCTTCCACATTTATTTCTGCTGTGGTTTCTCTCAAACTTCATCAGTTACCATTCTTATAAGCTTTTTGATCTTCCAAATCTTTAGTGACATCTATTGTCCTTCCCTTTATTTTCATAACCATGGATTTGTAACTTTCTCCATTTATTTACTAGTATTTTTAATGGGCTCTCAAGAAGGTGCAGGAAAATGTATATATTCATATTTGCATCAGAAGGCAGCACACATCATTTTAATAGTAATACTATGGTAGGGATGTCAGGAGGGAATAATAAGAGGCTTAACTAACAGATTTCCTATCACTTTTCTTACAGTTAAAACCTCCTCTGCAAAAGATACTCCTTCAAGACTATGAGGTTACCTCTTCTTCCATGACATAGGTAAGCAGCTTCCAGTCCCACTCCACTGTCTTGGCATTGGCTGGATGTAGCCTGAAAGTCAAGTAACATCAATTAGAATTCTGGAGAATTTTGTGGGGAAAGGGATGGGATGTGGAAGATGATACAAGAAAAAGAGTCTTTTCTTATCCCTAGAGCTCTGACCCATTCCTTGGTATCCAAAATACATAAATATGAACACAGTGGAACTCCCCTTTTAGGAAGCACTGTCTGTTTTTTGGGGATTGAACGCATAGTCTCATGCTTGCCAGGCAGGTGCTTACATTGCTGAGCTAAACCTCTGGCCCCAGAAGCACTGTCTTAAAGAAACCAACTTCCCAGCACTCTCAGCCAATTAGCTTTACCCACCAGGATGAAACACGAGATTCTGAGTTAATTGTAATACTCTACCCCTCAATTCACAGTGATTGGTTCCAAGATGGATCACATCTCATGTTAGGCCAATTAAACCCCACAAGACTCAAATTTGAGAACTCTTACTGTAAGTGTTATAAAAGCCTGAGCCCCAGGACTACTCAGTAATGGTTGAAAACAAAATTGAAGCAGAGATAGAAAATGGACACTGGTAACCCATTATGAACACAGGATCAAGTCACATCTTATTCCTAAATTTAGGAAGACAAGCCATTAAATTCTCTTTTACCAGTTGTTAAGCCAGTTTTGACTGAATTTCCCATCACCTGTAATCCAATAATGCTATTACATTAAGAAACCTTCTCTAACGGTTAGTTGAATAAAGCACAGACAAGAGAAAACTGGGCCTTGAGTCTAGGTTTCCCTGGAGATTTTGCCAAAAAGTGTTAAGTTCATACTGTTGAATTTTCATGAGAAGCATGTAGGCATCCTTGAGGACATCCACTGTCTCAGAGTCACTGAGCAGGATTTTCTGGATGATGTGAGCCACAATTTCTCTAGGTGGGTAATGCTGGGGTGACACAAAGTCCATCAGAAACTGCACAGTCCCCAGAGGAAAGTTTTCTTCAATAGTGTTTGTCACCATTCGTAGTCTTCGATGAGGTATGGGTTCTAGTTTTTGAGCCTTACTCTGTAGAGATGAGGAAAAAAAAATTAGGGTGGATTTCTATAGTACATAAAAGCAAAATTTCTGGAACTAATTGAAGACAGTAACATTTTCCATGCACATAACTGAAAAAAGGAGAGACAAGAAAGTCTTATCTAAAAACAATGGGCCAGATATGTAGCTCAGTGGCATAGCACCTGCCTGGCAAGTGCATGGCCCAGAGTTTGATTCCCAGTACCAAAAAAGAAACAAAACAAAACAAAACAAACAAAAACCCCAAAATTAATGACGTGGGGGAAAAGCTTATATAAAATTCTGTAAGTTTTTATTTTTGTTTTTCATTTTTTTTTTTTTTTTGTCTTTTTCTTTTTTATCGGTACCGGGGATTGAACTCATGACCGCCTGCTTGCAAGGCAGGTCTGTATGCTGCTGAGCTAAATCCCCTTTTGTTTTTCATTTTATTGAGAGTGTCTCACTAGGTAGTGCATGCTGGCCTTGAACTTGGTTATATAGCCCAGGTTGGGCTCACACTCACTGCAATCCTCTTGCCTCATCCTCCCAAGTAATGGAATTATAGGCATGTGCTACTATGCCGAGCCCTAAGTTTACGTAAAACTAAAGGATAAGAATTCTAAATTTTAAGCCGGGCGTGGTGGCTCACTCCTGTAATCCCAACACTCTGGAAGCTGAGGCAGGAGTATCGTTGTGAGTTCGAGACCAGGGTAGGCTATAAAGTGAGCTCAAGGCCAGCCTGAACTGCATAGTGAGACTCTGTCTCAAAAAAACAAACAAACAAACAAAAAAAACCCCAAAAAACAAAAACAAAAAAATTCTACATTCTACGTATAACCTGACTTGATTTATGTTAAAATATAGCATGAAAAAGAAATATAAAGAGCAGAGAGAGTCAAGAGCCAGTATAAGTTATTTTAGAGTGAGGGTGACAGATTTAGGGTAGTTGTAATGCTGCATCAGACACTGAAATAGAGATAAGAAAGAAGATTTAAATGCTTTGTTATTGGGAGACGAATCTTGATTTCTTGTTCTTTTAAGACATCAATAAATATTAAATTGCTTTTCCCTACAAAAAATATAAATAAAGATGGCAAGGGATGAAAAGTGATTTTTTATTATTTGGTCATGGAATTAGGGTGATTTTTCTGTATAAGTTCCTTTGCATTTTTCAATTTTTCCATAATAGATATTTATTAATTTTATGACTAGAAGAACAAACTGTAACACTAAGAAATATGTTATTATTCCTAGTTTATAGATAAACTGCAATTTAGAGTAAGAATTTATCATACAACAAATAGCATGGCAGAAATTGGTTTCAAACACAGATGGAATAACTTCAGAGCTACCTTCTTAACCCCTGCTCTCTAGAAACAATAAAAACAATTGTGTATATTATATATGGCTCAGCAGTAGAGCTTCTGTTATGAGTGAAGCTCTAGCTCTGGGTTTGAATGCTAGCACCCAACATAAAAGCAAACAAATGAATAAACTTCACAAGAAATGTATAATATAAATATATATGTGTGTATATATATATATATATATATGTAATACAGTACACAGATATATGCTGAAATTAAAAATTCAAATGGTTATGTATTAAAAGACAACTGGGAAGGAAAATTATTCACAATAATAAATGCTGCCTGAGAGTACTATGAATGATGAAAAAAGTATATATATGTTTTGTAGTATTGAGAATTAAACCCAGGGTCTCATACCTGGTAGATAAGCATTTACCACTGAATTACATACATAGCCCTTCTCATTTTGTTTTGAGACAGGGTCTTGCTAAGCTGCCCAGGCTAGCCTCAAACTTGTTATCCTCTTGTTTCAGTCAAATTCTTTATATTTTAAAATGTCTTTTTTTTTTTCAAGCAAAATACAGCACACATTTATTGACTCCAATAACTCTCAGTCAAGATTTCAGCAAAGTAAACAGAAAATAGAATTGGGTACAAGTAAGCAATGCAGTAACATTATTCTATTTTAATATTAATTTTCAACCCACATATAAGTTTTATAATAAGAACCGCTGTTAATAAGTATTACTGATTTTAAGAGAACTAAATAAATATCTTACTCAATCATATGATAGTGCAGTAAATTAGTAATGACTTGAATTGCCCTTCTAGAAAATCTTCTGGAGCAGAGAAGACCAGTTGGCTTTTCTTACGTCTCAAATAACCTACCATCAGCTCATTGGTGAGAAGATCACTGCATAAGGCATGCAATGAGAAGAGTGATAGAAGGCAGAGAACAAAAGTCTTGCTTGGGTCACTCATTTTATAGATGTGTGGTGCATTTTGTAATCTTGAAACTGTATTATTAATTCTTTTGGTCTACAAATAGAGAAATCTAAAAACAAAACTGCTTACAAATTGTTTTGATTCCTATATTTCTAAAGGAAAAAAATTTTTTTGAGTAGTAAGGGTTGAACTCAAGGCTTCATGCATGGTATGCAAGTGCTCTATTATCAAACTACACCTCAGCCCTGAAATAAATATTTATAGAAAAGCAGCTGTATGTTTTTACATATTTACCTGTAAGTCAAACAACTGTACAGTTATGGTTGGGATCCAAAATTCTCCACAAGGCTCACTGTGTTAAAGGCTTGTATTAGTGGGTTTTGGGGAAACGACTGGATTATAAAGGCTCTGACTTCACAAGTGGATTAATTCACTGATGGTACCATGATTTGATGGCAGTATTAGGAGGTGACAGAAATAGGTCTAAAGGAAGGAGTGAATCATGGGAGGACAAACTTGGTGACAGCCCTTCCTCTTTGGTTATCTTCCTTTCTCTCTGCTTCCTGGCTACAACGAGGTGAGCAGCTTTTCTCTGCCACTCCATTGTACCATGCTGTTCTGTCTTAGGACAGATCCAAAGTAATGGAGCCACTGGACCATGGATTGAAACCTCTGAAACTATGTGCCAAAATAAATCTTTCCTCCTTTAAGCTGTTTTTCTCAGGTATTCTGTCACAGTGATGAGAGGCTCACTAACACATGTAGGATACAGACTTTGTGGTTCTTATGTTAGAGTTAACAGTGAGACTCAGAGGAGATAAGGCCAATGGCTGATCAAGTGGCAGTTGTGGAAACTAAAGAAGTTCTAAGAAAATGTACTCATTGAAAGCCTAAAAGAAACCAGAAGAGATAGGAAACATTTATAGACATATTCTAGAAATCTCAGGTTAAGAAGGTAAAAAATGAAGATGAAGAATGAAATCTACTCTGTGTAGCCAAACTGCCAACTCATAATCTGAGCTAAGTGCACAGAGAAGGGGGACACCTTCAAAGTACTGTACCCTTGACTATGGAAACATATCCTGAAGTCACATAAGGATATTTTGTTTGTTTGGTTTTGGTTTTTTGAGACAGGGTTTTGCTCCACAGTTCAAGCTGGTCTAGAGCTCACTATGTAGTCCACACTGAACTTGAATTTGCAGTGATCCTCCTGTCTCAGCCTACGGAGTACTGGGATAACAGGCATGCATCACCACACTTAGCTTCTGTAGGTACTCTTGAAATGGACAGATGCTTCACCAACCTAAGGCAACCCACAGCAAAAAAAAGAGAATGAGCTAGTGGTCAGATACAACTTGGAAGGATCAGACATAAATGTAGACTCCTGGCATTTGCTAAGCTAAGCACTGATTGCTTGGACTTTTAACTTTCTTTAAGCCACTCCTTTTAATGCTGGATATGGGATTGTAGGTAACATAAAATCCAGCCAAAGAAAGACTTCACCCTGTGGGATTAAGACACAGAATTCTTCCTTCACACATCTAATTTAGTTCTCATAGATCAGTTAAGATCAATGGAAAGTAACATTCTAATTAGTCTTAGGATTAATTTTCTATCCTAAAATGCAGAGTTATAATTCTGGAGGCACTTAAGTGTTATAAGACTATTAAATCTGTTATATGGGAGCTGTAACAAAGCTGCCAGGAAGAGAAACAAAGGTAAAGGAACTAAAGACAGGAATTTGACAAAGGCCTATGATGAACCAAACACAAACAGGCATCTTTTATTACTGCTCTTAATGGCATGGTGAGGATCCACTTTACAGAGAGGAAGGCTAATACTCTCGAAGGCTAAGTGATTTCACAGTTCTGGTTTTTAAGGATGGAGCTGAAATTGGACTTGGACACGACCTTAAATTGAACGGTCTCTCCGTAAGTAAGAAAAAGATAAAAATGTCATTTACACTTGGCTCATCCTTTCGTACAGGAACTTTTGTCATAGATGTCTTTATTTGAGGCCTACAGACAAGACACTTAAACCCTAGTGGGAGGGAAGTTAGCTCACCTCTCGTGCATCTTTATCTGGGATTAGTGTCTGGAAGAAGAGGTGATGTACTGGAGGTCTCAAGAAGTACTTCATTCTATGCAGGCAGGGCCTGTTGTACAGCCCGCCTTGCAGTGTTTGTGCTTGTACCCGGACAGACTTGGCACAGGCAGGCTCTGACAATGACATCTCTTTCCTGGCAGATGTTTCTGTGACAGAAAGCCAAGGAACCTTCTCTAAGGAAGTTTCAGATTGTGGAGATGGTGAGTCTGGGGAACAACTTGTAGAGGATGGAGTTGAGATATCCATAGGACTGTCACAATTCTGTACATCATTCTCGGGAGAGTTAGGTCTGTCTTGTGGCAAGGGAGGCAAGTCTCCTTGTGAACATGGCATGTCTCTTGATGAGCGCACCATGTTTTCAGGTGAATGTAATACATCTGGCAAAAGCAGCGCACCTCTGGGTGACTGTGATGTATTGTCTGGTGACTGTATTATGTTGCCAGGTAACTGTGGTATATTTTCCAGTGACTGTGACATGTCTTGCAGTGGCTTTATGTTTTGCTGGTATGCCACATCTTGTGGATACAACAGGTTTTGAGGTGGGCCTGGTATATCCTGAGGTAGGCCCAGGGAGCCTTGAGGTGGGCTCAGTGAGCTGTGAGGATGCCATGATGAATCTCGAGATAGGACTGGAATATTCTGCTGAGTGCATGGTACATCTTGAGGAGGGCATGGCACTTCTTGAGATGGGCGAGGCAAAGCTGGTAGCTGGCACTGAGTGGTTTGTGATGGGCATGACAAGGCTCGCGGTGGGCATGAGGCGGCTCGTGGAGGACATGGTGAGGCTCTTCGTGGGGATGGAAAGCCTCGCAGTGAGCATGGCAAAGTTTGTGGTGGGCAAGGCTCACCTTGCCGTGGGCATGACAAGGGTGCCCTCTGATTGCTATTACTATTATTGCTTGTGGGGAGGAAGAAGCTAACATCTGAAGATAGCTGTGTGCTTGGCAAGAAGCTGAGGTCATTTAGGAACGTAGCTGAGCTACAATTTGGCTCTTCTGGATAAACAGAGTCCTGGCTGATGGATGCAAGGGGTTGAAGATTTTCAAAAGAAGTTTCTTCCAACAGCTCCAAATCCACAGGAACACTGTTAATGATTCTTTGTGTCACAGGCCAAGAGCTTCTATTCCCTCGAGCTTCTGTTACCTCTTTGCTAGACAAGCTGGCACATGTCTGAAGACTGGCTGGTTCCTTCTGAGAGGGCACAACAGATTCTAACGTCAAATCAAGAGTGTCAATAGGTCTATTTTCTTCCTCACTTCTTGTCAGGTCAATCACACAGAGCCCATTGCGATCCTTCGCTCTTGGTCTGGTTTCTCTAGTTAAGTCAATGAAGTCCTGTTGAAAGGTTATGAGAAGAAAAGAATTAAACAATGAAGTTGCAACTTTAGTTAAGAAGAACTTAAGTTTTTTTGTTTTGTTTTTTGGTACCGAAGATCGAATTCACAACTGTGTGCTTGCAAAGCAGGCACTTATGCCGCTGAGCTAAATTAAATCCCTAGCCCTTGAACTTAAGTTTTTATGAGTATTATTTAATGGAAATTTATACATCTTTTATAACATAAGCATGAGTTTATATCCTCTGTTCAACATTTTGTTAGTATTGAAGGTGTGAATTTCTATACTTCTTAAATTCTTCAATTATCCAAAGGCTTGATGTATATACTGTTTACATCAAGCCAGGGGATAATAATACTGCAAGTAAAAGAAAAGATACACAAAAACATTGGAAAAGCCAGGTTTACATATGGAAGCATAGTGGGATTTTTTTTTCTGGTCTAAGGGAGACAGAGGAGTAGGAGGGGATATTGCAATCTTCACAAAATAGAAAGCAACCTTTTTTTTGGAAAAGCAAATACCCATGATAATTACAACAGAAGCTAAACAAGAGGATCTTTGTGCCTAGAACATGTTAATTGCTTTCATATATTTTACATTTGCATAATAACCCTGCATCAACATCTCCATTATACAGAGGAGAAAGGTAATTTAAAGGGATGAAGTTATTTACCAAAGCATTACACAGCTAACTGCACAGAAACAGACATTCAAATCAAGATCTGTCTCCTTTCCTTGTTGGGACCTAGGAGTGTATTTCATTCAGTATGTAATCAGCTTAAAAAGAGACTCCAAAGAAAATACAACAAAACCAATAGTGTTAGTCTGTACTCTACCTACATTAACAAATGGCAAACCTATCTCTGCTTCTATTCCTCAGCAAATTGATCAGGCAATTCATAAAGCTGATTGATGGCAGCCAAGGATGCTATAATAAAAATTTGTACCATGAACCTGGAACAATATTGCTGTAGTTTCTAGGTGTCTTCTCATCTGGTTGGACACCACTACCATTGGTACATTAGAGTCCTGAGGCTCAAATGCTACTCTTCTTACTACAATTATTACTCTCTCTCTGTCACTATCACTGTCACTTCCTGCTAAAATGCAATGTCACCATTTCTCTCCCATTTAAAACCCATCAACAGATCCACATGACCTACAGGATAAAGGTCAAATGCCTTAGTAAAGTTCATATGATGCTTCACAATAAGATCTATACTTATCTCCAGTCTGTCTTCTCCTCCTCATCATACAATCAAATCACACAGAACCACTGAAGAACTCTAAATGCACCTAGCTTTTCCAATGTCTCTGTGTATCTTTTACTTTTTTTCTTTTCAATCTGCATTCTTTCTTGCTGGTCCTCCTTACTGCAAACATCCAGTACAATTCAGGACAGATGTACTGGGGATGGATATTCTTGCTTTGTTCTTGAACCTAAAGGCTTTCAGAATTTCATCAAGTTTTTGTTGTTAGCTTTGTGGTTTTCACAGATACTCTTTATTAGAATGAGGAGCTATTTTTCTTTTCTTAGGCAACCACTTGTAATTGCAAAGAGCTGTTAAATTTTGTCAAATGCTTTTCTGCTCATATTGATCATTATCAGAAAGTATATGGATTGGTTTTTCTAATTCTAAATTACCTTGCAATATTAGGAAAATTTGATTATGATGTATGATTTCTTTTTTACATTGTTAGGCTTTAGTGTATCAATGTTAAAATTTTTTTGCATATTGATGTGGTATGTTTGTAATTTTGTATTCTTACCATTTGTCTTTTTATTTTTGTTGCTAGAAACTGATCTCATAAAAAATTTTTTTTTTGTCTTTTTTGTTTTTATCGGTACCAGGGATCGAACTCACGACTGCCTGCTTGCAAGGCAGGCGCTTATGCTGCTGAGCTAAATCCCCAGACCCTTCATAAAATTTCTTGAGAACTATCCCTACCATTTTTCTTTAGGATATGTTGGAATGGTACTATATTTTCCTTAAATGTTTGATACCATTTGCCAGTGAAGTTGCCTGCATCTGGAATTTATTTTGTAGGGAAACTACAAATTGAAATTACAAATTCAATTTTTTAAAACTAGATATAAGGCTATTAAATTTTTTTATTCCTCCTTGGGTTTTTTTTTTTTTTCCCCTTTTGAAGCAGGGTCTTGTTCTGTGATTCAGGCTGGCCTTGGACTTACTTTGTAGCCCAGGCTGGTCTTGAACTTGCCGCAATCCACCTGCCTCAGCCTCCTGAGTGCTGGGAGTACAGCAGTGTGCCACCATGCCTGGCTCCTTCTTGGTTTTGTCATTTGGTTTTCTAGGAATTTATTTCACTTTGTCAAACTTGTTGGCATAAATTATTTTTAATAGCTCCCTATCTTTTAAAATGTCGGCATTCTATATTAAAGTTGTTTATTCTCAGTTTCTGCTTTATTTATTTATTTTTGTCTTTTTCCTTTTTATCGGTACCAGCGATCGAGCTCACGACTGCCTGCTTCCAAGACAGGCGCTTATGCCGCTGAGCTAAATCTCCAGCCCCTCAGTTTCTGTTTTTTATTCTCAATATTTGTATTTTATGTCCTCTTTTTTATGATCAATCTAGCTAGAAATTTATCAATTTTATTGTTCTTTCAAAGAACCAGACTTTTCATTTGTTTTATATTTCATTTATTTGCTATTTTTATTATATGATTCCTTGTAGTTACCTTGAAATTCATTAGTTTACTCTTTAGTTTCCTAATGTGGCAGATTCGAATACTGATTTAAGATCTAGAGGCAAGCCAGATCAAGCACCACTACACATATCTAATCTTATAGAGTCAATTATAGAAAGGTCCCCCACAACTGCTACAAGTAAGTTTCTTCATTTGTAAACTGCGGAGAGAGCACACTGGTCAAATTCTGACTTTTATAGAAATTGTGTTTTGTGTTTTTTTCTCTTTTTTCTCCCCCTTCATCTGATTTTTATATATGAAAAGGAGAATAAAAACTAATTCGTGCTTTAGTTTAGTATCTTCTATAGGCATATCAGGTTAACCCTCACCAAAACTTCTATATAGAGGGTTCATCAAACACAAATTTTCCATCAGCATGTTAACTCGTTCCAACCTCCGCAGTTTCCCTCAGCCCCTAATTATATTTCCCCCTTTTTTGTTTTTCCTGTTCCCACAAATAATCTCTTAAAACCTTTCTCATCAGCCCTCCATTCCAGATATAAAAATAATATTCATGGAATCCTGTCTTCTTTCTGAACTATTTTTCTATTCTTTTTTATTTCATTTATCTTCTACATCTCAGTCTACTTGTTATCAGTATGGTATCACAGTCTTTCTGGCTTATTGACAAGAGAGTAAAATTGAAAAAACAAGTTTCAAATTACACAACGGATATATAGTTGGCTATAAGTGTTGATATAAATAGTAGTAGATCTCTCCTTGCAACACGGAGTGGGACTGAATCCTAAGGAGTAGGCTGCATAAGTGTATAAATATGAAAACGTAACTAAAGCCTAGGTCACCACACAGGGAAACATACACTAGTTAAAAGAAATCTCCCAGGACTATCCAATCCTCTACTTTCAGCATAGAAACAATAGAAGCAATGAAAAAACAAGGTAACAAGCCATCCAAGGTCAGGGAGCTGAAGTAAGTAAGATCAGCAAGAGTGCTGTAGGCTAAACAACTCAGGCCCCAACACCACAACCAGTGGGCAGGTCAGCCTGAACTTCTGTGGAGTTGAAAGCACTAGAATTAGCACCCTGTCTTATCCTACTGCAGGCCTGCTGGGATTATCCAGCATGCATCTGGGCTCTGCCTGCTTTGTCTACTATGACAGCAGACATGCCTTGAATTGAACACTACCACAAAACTGTATACACCAGAAGATACAAGTTTGAAATCACAAGGAAATCTCTTTTTTAGTCTTGGATTTTTTTTCCATGTGTGTGAATGCTGCTTTTAGTTTTCAGGAGTTTTTTGTTTTTCCTTTTGTTTTTTCCTTCTTTCTTTCCTTCCTACCTTCTTCACCAGTTTCCTGAAGTTTGAGTATTCTTCTTTTGTCTTTCAGCCTTGCTTTTAATCTCTTTTTCTTCTTTTATTTCCCTACTTTTTTCTCTTATCTCTTTTAAATTTTTTCCCTGGAAGGTAAAATCACTCTACTGAGTGGATATTTACTGTCTATAATTTTCTGATTTGTTTTACATTTTGTTATTATATACCTATAAATATTATTCCTACGGTTAATGGTGGCAATATAACAATTACCAGTTTATCATTTTCTAGACTGTGCTTGATGCTTTTATGACTGCTTGTACTATGTTTGCCAAGATAACAAAGCTATGATCAGTTGTTCCAGGTATGCCAATACTGAGAGTGTCTGGTGGTCATAAATATCACAGTTCAGTAGCAAAGAATTGGATGCTAGGCCAAAGAGACAGTGATCTCTCATCTCTAATAAATTGAAGAGGCAGGATATAGGGAGACTCAAGAGCCAAAAGCCAGCTATACCTAGAAGACATCTCTGAAAGCAGTCATTTCGTGATGAGGTCTTGATACCAGTGACAAGCTACCTACTATAAGCAATTCATAAGTAAAAATGCAGAAAACAAATTTTAAAAATAGAAAATGATAAAACAAGGAAGCAAGAAGCAACCCCAGACCGGCCAGGGGGCACTGAGGTGGAAGAAGTCAAAAGCCACCCAGAGAAACTTTCTAAAATGGTAGTGTGGAAGTAGTAAAGATGAATGTCGACTCTTTTAAATTAATCAGAAATGATTTCACAGCTAACTAATGAGATGATTATAATGAAGGACATCGTTAATCAATTTAGAGTAGAAACAGAGAAAAAAAAATTGAGTAGCTTAGGAAGTGACAGAAAGTATGAATGCCTAATAGAGGAAAGAACTGAATTCCAAAAAACAGATTGCCAGGAGATTGAAAATTCTATTGAAAGTATAAGCAGCAGAAACAACCAGAAACAACCAACATGAAGACAGAATATCAGATC